CAATGTCTTAATGGTTTTGTGTGAACTTACAGCTGGTGCCCCGTCGATCTCATCAATAATGAGACAGTTGGGCCTCTCGTTGGCTCCTAACACAGACTTCATCTGAGTAGCTGTGTCTATGCGCTTCTGGAAGACCTCTGCACTACGGTCATCACTAAAGAAACATAACCATTACTATTATAAGACATAAATATTTGCACCTGCGGGAACTAAATAAAATTATAATATAATTCTTTTTATAATTTGTCTTATAGGAAATTTTTTTTGACATACTGAAGTCTTAGCATTTGTGTTTTTTAAATCAATTTTAGTTATCATGGTGTGCAGTGCCAATTAAATATAATTATTTTTTAAATGCTATAACAATTACCTGGCATTTATTTCCACCACATTGTACCCAGCATGCTTCGCAATAACATGTGCAAGTGTTGTCTTGCCTAAACCTGGAGGACCTGATAACAAGGCCACCTATAACAACAAACCACATATTTAGGTCAGAGAATCAAACAACATTTTCAGTTCACAGAGTCTACCTTAAACTTGGGTCTTTTGTACTGGTCCAGCTCGGCCTCCAGCAGCTCCTCAGTCATTTCCACTTTGGATTTAAAGCGGTTTGCGTTCTGGTTGGGTTGATTGGGTTTGAATGAGATCTGGTTGGAAGACTGTTGGAAGCGGACTGGGCGAGCTTTTCTCTCTTTTCCAAATACAACAGTGTCCCAGGATTTGAGCCATTTGAGCAGGCAGCGGTTTGTGAACTGCATCAAAGCCACAGGACTAATGTTAGCAGGATGTTACAAAACCACGTTTTCAATAGGATTATCCCAAAGTCTGTTTGTTCTCTTACATCGTCACTGAGGAGTTCAGTGTAGTGCCGTGGAGAAAATCTGTCCACCCACAGTCGAGAACACACCTCTTCAGAATTCTCTGGCTCTTGATTTTCTTTGTCCTCTTGCTCCAAGAACATGTCATTCACCTCATTCACATTACTGCATAATAAGAATATTCAAGATGTATTTATTATTATTATTTAATGTATTTTTTTTAAATTCTGTTTTTAACTTATTGGCAGTAACACATTGAGTCTGTGTTTACCATATGAAATATTATAATAATGAAAGAACTTTTTGGGTTTTGGACACTCAAGTTGGATTACGTTACATTGCTTTCGTTATTTGTAGCTACAGTTGCCCTGGGCAAACTGATTCCGCATTGCAAACCAGATTCATAGTCAAGGTGGGTGATAAGAGGACAAATCAACTGGATGCAAAAGCAGGATGTCAATTTTAAAATAACCCATTTGCCATTTGCAGCCAGATAAATGATACATGTTTTTAATTTTTAAGATTAGTATTAAATTTAGCTAGTATTGTTAACATTTTAATTTTTGTCCTTATGACATGGTGATAGATGATTATCGGTTCAGTAACACTGTATGAGCACCTACCTGGTCAGCAGTTCTGTAAGGCGCTGGGATTCTGCCACTATTTGCTGATGACGCTGCATGTTTTAAAAAGAAACAGATGTTTAGTGGGACAAATTGTGGTTTCTGGAAAAAAAAAAAAAACGTTTATACCTTTTCTGCTTCCTGTTCTCTGAGCTCGCGGATAGGTACTGCCAGCAGCCCCAAAGACCCAAAGGCATCAGGCACCATTCTGGGCTCTTCTACCTGAAAGACACGAATACATGTCTAAGTAATATCAAAACAAATATGCATCATGTTAATATTTTTAACTCACTTTTTCCTCTGCTTCCTCTTTTTGCCGGAGGTAAACTCTAGTACCTACAGTGTCTGTGACAGAGACATAGTCCCCCTCTAAAGGCGGTCTCTTCAGGACATTGGATGAAGCTTGTGTAGGGACCACAGGGCGAATGGGAGTCTCCGGGATACAAGCAAATCCACTGATGTCCAACGAAGAAGCTGTTGGTCTAAAGTACAAAGAAAACTTGTTTACAGAACTTTCTCTAGAATTATATGAACAATAATAACTTCTCTCATTGCCATAACCAGTACCTGAAACTGGAGGAGCTGGAGGTTGTGTACTGCTCTGGAGATGATGGAGGTGTGATGTCATCAGTATGTGTTGTATCAAACAGTTTCTTGACCACAGTGTCTTGCTTTTGGCGCTTTGCTTTTGGAGCTAGAAGCAATACATTTAATTATGATGAGACTCACATAAGATACCACATAGAAGAGAGAACATAGAAAACATGAACTAGAATGTTTTTACTTACTGACTGGCACATCATCAAGCAGGTGAGCAATATCTGAACTGACACTTCCACGCACTTGCTTTGGCTTCTGTTTAACCTTGTTGGAAGTCTCCTCTAATTTGTTCAATTTAGAGACACAAAAAGTAAACAATGTATTTAGTTATCAAAGAAATGTTTATATTTTTCATAGGACACAATAATAGATCATAAATGGCAACTCTTTTAACTAACACACAGTTTGTTTACCCTCATCCATCTCCGCCATGACTTCCAGCTCATCCGCGAACTGCGCCTCAAAGTCATCTTCAATCCCGAACATCTCGTCGTATTCATCCATTATGTCTAAAACAAAAGAATTACATAGGCATTCGAGGAAAAATTTGAATAAAAATCTACCTAAATCTACAGTTTTTGAGCCCTGACCACTACACCTTCCCTCTGTGGAACTTTCCCGGTAATTTTTTGTTGTGAAAGTACTACTTCCGGGTAACGCGCGTGTCGCTTCTGTGATTGGTTGTTCAGAACTTTTATCGTTTTGCCGTAGAGCGCGAGACTCGACCATAGATCTATTAAAATCGACTTATTTCTTATTTTTATAATTTAAGTTCGCTAGTTTTGCAATTAATTATTAATTAGAAATGTACATAACTTGACCAAACGCACAATTTGAAGGTAATGAATTAAAATTTATATTGTAAAATGCCGAAAATATTTATGTAATGAAGATATGTCACCACTAGTAGGCGCTAGATGTTAGTCATTTAACACCAGCTTGTTCTTTATAAGTATATTAATTTAGTCACATTTTACAACTTTTTTACAACTTTATGGCCATTAAATCAGGTAAAAGTGTCTTTGTTACATATTTATTATAGACCTATACAATTTATATTATTGTATATGTTCTATTTACTGCCCTAGACGTTAGTTAGATTGCAAATTACTATGTCCAATATGTAGAATTTACCATTTTAAGTCATTATAAAATAATCATAATAACAGTTAAAAAGTTTAAATAAAGGTTAAAGTAAACTGCACTAGCCATTGAAAAATAGTGTCTCATTCTGTCAGTCTCCTGTAGTCTGCACCAGTAGTGCACAGTATAAAGACTGTCAGAAGTGACAGAAGGGAATTGTAATAGCACAGCTGGACTTGGCAAGTGTTGCTTCTGTTATGTCTGCCATAATACTAAGCCTGCCAAGCTATGACAGCGTAATCAAGAAAAAAAGGTGAAGACGCAGCTCTGACACTGAGTAACTGTATTAGAGCTTCAACAGTGGTGACAAGGTACTATAAGTTTGAATTATGGTTATATTCTCTTGTCAGGTTTCCTCACATGATCATGTTCTCTCATTTGCAGATGGAACTGTAAGCTAAAACAACTGAAGCAAGAGGTCCAAGTCTACAGGGGCGCAAAGGTCTAGTTTGGTCTAGACCCGGCGCCATATGAAAACCAACTCTGTCTCAATCAGCTGGTCTCATTGAAACTTCACCATTTCCAGCAGCCTAATCAGAGGTCAATGCTGTGAAGCTGATGCTGTAATGTAAGCACTCTAGCAGGATCCTGTCTTAAAGCTAATGAAAATGGGAAGGCTGAAGCGTGACCATATTTTTAATCAGTTACATAGCCTATTCATTTCTGAGTAGTTACAACATATTTAGATACATTAGTTAGAGTACAACATGTTCTTACAATTTTGTCAAGGTATGACACATAATTTTCCCTGTTCGTATAAGTACACATTACAGGTATAGTGCTTTGTAATAATGTTTATTTCTGCCTAACAACTCCAATAATACTCTACTGTTTCAGGGCTCGAAGTCTGAAGGTTGACAGGATGTAGATGTTTCTTCCCACAAATAAATCCTGGAAGCTTTAGCTCAGCTTGAACAGATTCCCAGACATTAAACACTTGATGTGTTAAAACTACTTCCCCCGGGAGCAAGCATGACATAAGTGCACCATTTTCTGTGATAAACTTGTCACTTATGCTGTCTCTCCATCCCTTTGAGGCATAACATATAGAGCCTTGTGGGGTAACAGCAATTTAACAGCTAACATTTGTCTTTTGTTCTGTTTAGACTGGCAATTCCAGGTCTGAAATCAACCAAATGATTTTAGTGAAGGGCTGTGGAGTTTAAAAACACAAAAGCACTTCCTGTATTAATACATGCCATCATAAGGTAGAGCAGAGTGTTTTCTGTTTGAGGGATGAACTCAGGCTAAATATGCAAGGTTTGTGTGTTATGTGTGAATGAAACAAAAAACAACTCCAGGTATTTTTTGATGAGGAAACAACATTATAACTTAGATCAGATAATAGCATAATAACATAAGGGCCCTTTAATGTCTGTTTTGTTCACTTTTTGCAGAACACATTTTAATATTTAATGAAAATAATGAGATGTTTGTCTCAGTTTCTCTTCTCGCGACACTAAGTAACACTTTTGTACTATATTTACTTTTGTACTGTTCTGAAACTACATGGTGCAGTGAACATAGACGTTTACTTGGGGAACTTGTTAACTGCTATTTTTCGGACACCTCACTTTTCTCCTACTTGAGAACTACACCTAATAATTTCATAGTTAAATATAGGCCTAAACTTATTAAGTAAAGGTTTTGGTTCCCCTTCACACAAGTAGGTGTACTAACCAAAGCTTTATTTTGACAATATTGAATACAGTGGGTATTTTGTGTTTCCTTTATATATTGACACTTATTTCTTTCATGAAGGCTTGGCCTGGCCATTTTAAAGACCTGGTGACACCCAACTCCCCTCAGTCATGTCATGGAGAAGACGTGGTAAGTAATGAGTTCAAGTTTTTCTACGAATATTTTAGTCAAGACACAATGCTAATGTCAGGTTCAATCAAGACTAAACTTTGGTAGTTTTAATCCGAACACCGCTGATCTACAGTACTTATTTGACATCTGTTTAATTTATGGTGTGGAGCATGATATTAAGTACAAATAAGAGTAACATGAAAACATATTTTTTGTCACTCATTTCAGAAAGTCAAACCCTTACATTATATAGACTTATGACACATAGCGTGAAACTTTCAAGCCTTTAATTTCTGAAAGTTTAATGATTATGCAGATAATGAAATCCCAGAATTCTCTGGCTCAGAAAAAAAGGGGAATAAATAAATAAACAGAAATGTCAGGCTCCTGAAAAGTAATTTCTATGCACTGAGCACTTGGATGGGCCTCCTTTGGCATGAATTATTGTGTCAATGCTCCGGGGCATGGAGGAGTCATCCTGTGGCACTGCTCAGGTGTAATGGAAGCCCAGGTTACTTGGATAGCAGACTTCAGGTCATCTGCATTGTTGGCCTTGGTGTCTCCCATCTTCCTCTTGACAATACCCCAGAGATTGTCTATGAAGTTCAGGTCAGGCGAGCTTGCAGGCCAATCAAGCACAGTAAGACCTGCACTTGTATAATGCAACGAAGAGTAAGATCATAATCTGTAGGACCAAAGAGGACAAACATATGCGGACATGGCAGATGATATTTATACACAATGTAGGATGTTGTGTGCCTAGACTTCTTAGGTTCTTGTACTGATGTGATGGCTTTGACCCCGTTTAAATCATACTGTACCATTGTATACAGATCCATGCTTTGGACTCATTACAGAAAAGCCATTGTGCAAAGGCTGTAGGTGGGCTAACTACTTTCTCTGCTTGTACTGAAATCCTCCTCATGCCACTTAGCAACACCACTTTTGAACTGACTGCACACCAAAATTCTGAACTCTATAATCTACTGAACACACATGCTCCCCTGAAAACCCGGGCAGTCTTTTTTACCTGCTCTGCCCTGTACACTCCTGCCCTAAGACAACTCAAAACAAAAGGCCTGTCTCTTACAAGTACAATCCATAGAGAAATTTATTTTCACCTTCACGTACATACATACATACATACATACATACATACATACACATTCAATTTCAGCAGCTAAATCCTTGTACTATGCACTCATTATAAGTGATGCAACCCTATGCTCTATTCTCTATTGTCAATAGACGAAACCGCCCAACTCTCTTCCAGTTCACATGCATTTTTCTGACTTGCCTCTGCCCCAGATAAAACAAAACATGCTCACCCCTCCTACAATAATCTCTAAGAACAATTTCAGTCTTGTTTCTGTTCTCTACCCATCACAGAAACAGCCCTGGTAAAATTTGTCTATGACCTCCTCTTATCTGCAGACTCACGACTCATTCTTCTTGATCTGCATTTGACATTTGACATTAAATTTTTCTTCATCGAATAGCTTCCGTTGGTATCATTAACAATGCTTTCTCTTTGTTACAGTCCTACATGTCTGACCATACTCAGTTTGTTCAGTTTAAAAATCATAAATCTCATTCTCTGCTTACATTGTCTCCTTAAGCTCTCGTTTTGATGCTCAATCTATGTTCCTATCCTCATCTGTGATACACAATTACAGCAACATGAGTATTTGTATTAGTTACTTTCCACACCTTCTTCTAAGTACAACCATGTATAATTTTTTTTTACATCTTATTCCATAGATGTTGCTGTTTTTAGCACAGAGCTCTTCATTGAGTATGATTTTGCCTACTTTTGACGATTTTTGTGTTTGTTTGTGTCTAAAAGGAGCTGGTGCAGGATGAGACCTGTGGGCACTTCTCTTCCCTCACTTCTGTTTGTGCTGCTTCTGCCTCAGCCTTCAATCTTTTACTCTTTAAAGAACTGCACCATAGACTTCAATGACAGCGCTAAAGTATTTTGCGACTTTAATAAGATAACCACCATTCCCAGAGGCATTCCCAAAACTGTGACTTATTTGTCAGCCTTCCTTAATAACATTGTGACAATTACAGAGTCTGATTTTAAAGGCTTTACAAAACTTGAAACAATATTCCTTGAAAATGGTTATATAAAATACATTGAAGATGGAGCCTTTTCAGATTTGTCCGCTTTAACTACCCTAAATTTGGCCCACAACCATCTCACAAAGCTTACTGACCACATGTTTGAGGGATTGACCAATTTGAGGATTTTAATATTAAATAGAAACTCTATTAAATGCATTATGCCGCTGGCTTACAAGCCATTAGGAAAGCTACAGGAACTGTATCTAAACCTCAATTTGGTCAAAAATAGAGACGTGGTCAACATAGTTTCACAGTGTCCATCATTAAAGGTTTTAGACATAACAGACAATGATTTCAGTTGTTTTGAAACAGACCTTTTTCCTTTTGCCCTGCAAAACCTCACAGCCCTGTATCTGAGCTCACCGGTTATGAGGAACTTTAGTATTCACTCCAAAGTTTTCCCTCAGTTAGAATCCCTCTTTATTTCAGGCAGTGGCCATGGCTTTGAATGGGATGTTTCTGACAAAGTTTTGACCAATCTGAAGACTTTAGATATAGGTTTTACTCAATTAAAAATAGAAACATACAAAAAGATTTTCCAAAGCCTTGTTTCACTTGAGAATCTTCATTTAAGTCATTTTGGCAGGATTTTTGACAAAAGATTGTTTGATTTTGTTTGTGGACTTCCATCTTTACAAAAGTTCTACGTATCACAAAAAAACATTTCTGTTATAGACGACACTCTTCTGCAGTTCTGTTCTAATCTCACTGACCTGAAGCTCTCCTCAAACGTACTGATGAACTTATCTGAGTCCTCGCTTCGAATGATGACCCGACTCACAAATTTAAGCATCGATTCCAATAAATTGAGCCAAATCCCACGAACCATCAGAAACATGTCCACTCTCACACATTTGTCATTTCAGTCCAACCAAATCCTCAGACTTAAATGCTCAGACTTTTTAAATTTACATTCATTAACAGAAATCAACATAAATTCCAATCGAATTTCCACATTTAAGAGTTGTGTATTTAAGGATCTTAAGAATTTAAAGGTTCTTTTTGTAGAAAGTAATCTTATTTCTCAGTTAGATGATACCATTGCCATCAGTTTGCCCAGTTTGGCTGTTTTTAATGTTAGTGAGAATCCCCTTAGATCAATAGAGAAAGGCACGTTCCATAATATGTCATCTCTAACCGACTTAAACATGAAATCCACATTGGCCACAGAGGTGCAGAGAGGGGGCTTTGAAGGACTTGTGGGTCTGAAGAGGATGATCTTATCAATAAACTACCACAGTGGGAGTGTATTTAAAGGTCTACAACAAGTGGAGCGTCTTGTTGTGTATATTTCGAGTAAAATTGAAATGACTGAGCTCACAGTTTCTGAGCAGAGGACTTTACATTTAGAGGCCGTGCAGGAGTTAACCATTCTGGTCGACAAAAATGTGTATGTTTATCATGCTCTCTATATAATTTATGGTTTGAAAAAATTGCAAATATTATCACTGGACTCAATCTGCTGTCCCACTCCTTCTGGCATATTCTGGGAAACTCCTAATTTACAAAATCTTCAGATTATCAATTGTGCCGAATTAAGTCTTGAGCCTGAACTTTTTCAACCAATCTCAGGTTTACGAATTCTTGATCTGTCACACAATAAAATGAAATCTTTGCATTTTCTCATTGAAGCCAATCTGACAAAATTAGAAAAGTTGATCTTAGCAAACAATGAGCTAACAATTATAAATGAGACTGTGTTTGAGGCTCTCCCTTCTCTAAGATACCTTGATTTAACTGGAAATCCGTTTGTGTGTGAGTGCTCAAACGCTGAGTTTATAGACTGGCTGGTCAGAAACAAACAAGTACAAGTGGTGGATGCTTTTCAGTACAGATGTTTCTCTCCTCGATCTGAAAGAGGACACTTTCTGCTGAACTTTAATGTGCAGTTGTGTTGGGAGTTCTCTAGCTTCTACTACTTCGTTTCCAGCTCTGCTTTGGTCCTTCTCACTCTTCTGTTCTCCTTCACCTATCACTTGCTGCGATGGCAACTGGTCTATGGCTTCTACCTCCTCCTGGCATTTCTTTATGACAGTAAAAAGAGGAGACAGAATTGTCCTCACATCTATGATGCGTTTGTCTCCTACAACGTTCATGATGAGAACTGGGTTTACGAAGAGCTACTGCCTGAACTGGAAGGAGTACAGGGATGGAGGCTGTGTCTGCACCATCGTGATTTCCAGCCAGGTATAGTGGCTCCGCAGCCTCTCTTCAGCCGTTCCTCAGTCTCTCTTCAGTCTCTCTTCAGCTTCTCCGCAGTCTCTACTCAGTATTTCTTGAGCCTGTCCTCAGTCTCTCCTGAATTTCTCTTCACTCTCTCCTCAGTCTCTCCTTCTGTCAGTCGCCCCTGATGGATTCTGTCCATGTGTTCCTCTGGAGCTGTGTTAATCTCACATATTCTTCTGTGTTCAGGGAAACCCATCGTTGAGAACATCACAGACGCCATCTACAGTAGCAGGAAGACTCTGTGTGTGATCAGCCGCCGTTACCTGCAGAGCGAGTGGTGCTCACGGGAGATACAGATGGCCAGGTACGGATTCACTGCAGCCGGATCTATCCTGGGTTAGACCAGGAATAGACCTGGGTTAGACCAGTTTAAATCTAGTCCTGATTTAGTGCTGGACAATCTCATGTATTTCTTGTGTGCAGCTTTCGTCTGTTTGATGAGCAGAAGGATGTGCTGATCCTGCTGTTTCTGGAGGAGATCTCGTCCAATCAGCTGAGTCCATTCTACCGCATGAGAAAGCTGGTGAAGAGGTGCACGTATTTGAGCTGGAGCCAGGCCCAGAGCCATAAGGGCCTGTTCTGGGAGAACGTCCGCAGAGCGTTAGAGTGTGGCAACGAGCCTGCTGACAACCAGAATCCACTAACTACTAACATTTAGCACCTAAAACACGCTAACTGCTAATGTTTAGCTGCCACCTGGTAACATATTAAGTGCTAATGATGCAGTCATTTATTGGTTAAATAGTGTGGCTCTGCATTGACTCTATTTAATTCTTATAAAAGTAACCAACTTAAATCATGGTATTGATCGAATAACAAAGGATTTTCATGATGGGGGCCTAATGTTTGTCCCATAAGGGAGGCAGGTCCTAATGATGTGAGTGTGAAAAAGCTAAAAAAGTGTTTGAGGAATTATCTGATCATTCAGCTCATTATTATGCACATCAGCTTTAAGCACCATTGGCTGTTTTGAACAAGTCCACAAGTTTCAAGACTGTAGTCTAATTTTATGTAGTCTCTCTGTGGGTTCCATTTGAACATATTTGATGTCCTATAGGGAAGTAGTTTTCTACATGAATTTGCTCATTTTCTTTTAGTTGATGTCTTATTAGTTTGTAAAATATTTGTAAAATAAATAAAAATATCTCTGTAATTGTGTTCATAATTGACATTCGAAAGCACTTTTTTTCTGCCTGTCCTTCTGCATTTCTGGGAAAATGTGTTTTCTTAAACTGTGTTTTTAAGTTGTTCTGTATATATAACTGTAATAAAATTTATATATATCAATGATTGTATACTTTGCTGCCAGTTCTAACTGAATGTATTTATTTTTTATGAAAAGCTGTGATGCAAGACTAAGTACCTTTGTATTTAGATGTGTCCTGAAATTGCGCTTACAGGTCATAAACAGTTTCCTTGTGTAATTTATTCATTGCTATTTTCCAAACACCACACTTTTACTCCTACTTTCACAGTTAAACATAGGCCTAAACTTAAGTAAAAGTTTGTTTACTCTTTGTACTGTAAGTGTACTAATGCTAAAAGCTTTATGGTGACTACATTAAATTTCAACACTTGTTTATGTCTCTTGAACTTTTCTTCTTCAGATATGATTTTGTTTTTTTCATTTTTTATGGTCTAAAGAACCCATGAAAATAAGTCTGTATTTCATATGTGGTTTCATGTTGTGGCTGATCAGACTGTGAGTGCAGGTGAATTCTTGATAAATATTAGTGATTAATGGTGGTGACGTGTGTCTCTTTGGCACCATCTGCTCTTCAGTGTAAACATGAGCCCTTTGTGTGACACTCAATTTCACATCAGCCACGTGAAAGCAGCTTCTCTCAGGGAAGCAGGCTTTTGTTTCACTTAATCTCATGCCCAAGCAAGTCCTGTACACAAGGGTCTAAGTCACAGAGGAATAGTTTTTGTATTCAAAGAAAATGAACTGATACAGGACATAACAGTGTATGCACCTGGATATTAACTTTATACATTCAGCCTATTATCATTTTATTTTCTAGCTATTCTAGTTCTTTTCTAGAGCTGAAAGCACTTCATCCTGGTTTGGGTTGAGTGATTTTAGACAACTTTAACTTTATGTAGTATAAGTAAAGGTAATGTCTTCTATTTTTTTTATTTTGTTAATTTGACTGCTTCTTTTTTCTTTTCTTTCTTTTATTTTGTTTACCAAGAGACAGGGGGCTGAATCACTGGAGTGGAAAATAAAGATGAGGTGTTTTATTACCCAGTCATGTGATCATTTAGAGGTGCACTTTGTAGTGTATTTGAAGGTTCTAAGTGGCACTGTGGCTAAGTGGATATCCCTCATGCTTCATACCAAGAAGGTTCTTTTCTGTGCACACTTTGCATGTTTCTTTCAGTGTCTCGGTGGGTTTCCTTCAGTTTCCCCAATCAACCCAAAACTATAAAGTTGTCCAGTTAAGATAGTCGTGACCAAGACTAGCTCAAGATCTGGAGATGGAGTCTAAACACTGCAGCACTGCTCCTGCATATTTTTTATCTGTTTAATTCATGTAAGACGAATATAATAAAAGTATGTTTCATATCAATGTGAACGAAAAGGAGCAAAAAAGAAAAACAGACTTGTAATATTATAGACTTGGGATTAATTATACTTAAAGATGCACTGTGTAACTTGTTTGTTGAAGGGTAAGTTAAATTCTTGTCTCCATGGAGATGTGTTTAGAATGTTCCACAGTATAGCCATAAACTTATAAATCTACATGGAGACTTTTTAAGATATTTTGGAGAAATAAATAAAACCTGTAGTTGAATAAAAGCAAGACAAGTTAGTTTAATATCATATTGTGGACGATTTAAACCAAAGCATTAACATCTCCATGGAGACAAACAGATTGCGGATCCTCTCCATTAAAGTTACACAGTGCACTCTTAATTGAAACTAGCTAATTAGAAATACTCACTTTATTGTAGTTATTGTAATCCATACTGTCTTTGCTCCTCTCTATACCTATAGACACATAATAGAACTACACCTCCTGCTCTCATTGGACAAAGCTCAGAGAATATGCAAATTGTGGTTAAAAACGACAAAGTTCAGTTTTGAAATGTTCACTTTATATCTTAAATGACTAGTAGGATTCTATGAGTAGTATTTTTCATGTGTGCTTTTTACTTAAGTACATTTTTATAAACATACTTGTGCTCGTAAATGAGTAGGCCTAGATTTTTAGCCAAGTATAACTCTGACTACAAATTTGCAGTCATCTTTCCACCACTGATAACATGCAACTCATTTTTACATGTAGCAGATGTACTCCAAGCCTCTTTTGAAATCCCAGCATGCACCTGTGAAACGTGGCCTAACAGCACACTTAGTCAATGCGTGTTTGTGTGTTCAGTCTCTAATGATTGTGAACTTGTCGGTGCCAATGATTGACCACCGCGGGTATGTGTGCGCGGACTCTGCTCCACCTGAACATCAGCCCGTGTCACACTCCATTACCCATCAGCACCCCCTAAAACCAGCGCATTACCATTAAGTTTAATGTGTTTAATCATCAGTTCAACCAACGCACGTCCCGCTTCCCGCCTACCCCCGCGCGCACTCGCTCCCTGCCTGTTTTCGGGGATACACGGCCCGGGTACTCTACTTTTATTTCTTGCAACAAAAATGCCATATTTTTATAGTTTCAAATAGGCATGGTGAATTTGCTCATCAATCAGGTAGTTTATTAGTATTAAAAGTTGTTTGTTTTCTTTGGATTATCAAAAATGTCAAATTATACCATCAATTTTTACGCATCGCCCAAGTCCTTCAGTTTTTCGGATATCATCGTGATTGTCATATACTTTCTACTCAATCTGGCTGTAGGCATCTGGGTAAGTCATTTTACCTAGTTTTGATTTGTATTGTGTTTCTCTAATGATTGTCCCTGGCAGTCTTCATGCAGGGTCAGCAGAAACACCCTGAGTGGATATTTCCTGGCCGGACGCGATATGGCATGGTGGCCGGTAAGTTTTTTTTTTTTTTTTGGAAATTATATTAGCAATTATGAAAATATTACAATGACAATGAGTATGTATTTCTTGCCTTTTGCCTTCAGAACATGTAAATGTAAATGTGAGTAGTTTATGTGGTTTTGAAATCTAAATCATTCTTGAATTGAGAATCAAATTTTAAAGGGCAGGCCAAAAAACGAATACTTTAAACTTTTTTTTTTTTTTTTTTTAATAAAATTGGCCAGATAGTCCTAGTGATTTTGTAAAGACAACATCATTTTGCTATTACCCCAAAAATATGTCCAAAATTGTGTTTTGTTTCATTCACTTGAGTATTATTAGTCTGTCTACAGCTCAACATGCTCAGTTCCTCCTTGTGACGCCATGACAAAGTAGTTTTCAAGTTAACAGCTCCTTTTACCTTTTGTTCAGTCCAGATTGAGTTTAAAAACACAGTGGAGCACTTCCTGTATTATCGCACGACATCAAAAGGCATTTTCTGTTTTAGAGAAGAGGGATTTAAGTGTTAAACATGAGTGAATGAAACAAAACACAACTCCAAATATGTTTTGATGAGGAAACAAAATTATAACATAGATCAGAAAATAGCATAATATGGCCCTTTGAAATAAATTTGATCAACACTGCAATAAATCAATAACACAAATACCTTTCCTATATGGATAACTCAAATGTGACCACCTGCACTCTGTCTAACCATGTTCATATTTTTAGCTAATACTCTAGATCAGACGTCAAACTCAGGCCCGGGGGCCAAATTTGGCCCTCGATATAATTACATTTGGCCTGCGAGATCATGTCAAATATGCATTAGAGCTGCCCGCTGGCTACATATAGGCTATAGAGACATTATTTATTTAAAATAGTATTCAGTGTTTTGGCAAAACTATTAATAAACATTTATTTTAATAAGAAAAGGTTTAACATTACATATCTCAAAAGAAGAGAAAACATGCAGATGTTGTTAAATATTTAGTTTGGCTCACCTCTTAGTACCAGTTTTTAATTTTGGCCCTCTGTGAATTTGAGTTTGACACCCCAGCTGTAGATAATTTTTTTTACCTTGAAACTTTGTATTTTAACCAACATGAATGTACTGTTGACCTGGATAGTAGCTTTCAGATTTTTGTCACTTTCAATGCATTCCAATAATATTTCTCTCTTATTGTTTACCACGTTGAGGTGGTAGATGTTTATCTTTTTGCATGGTCTACATTTTTGAAAGAAAGCTTGACAGACGTGTGTGTTGACAGATTGGGGCGTCTCTATTTGCCAGCTGTGAGGGCTCAGGTCTGTTCATCGGTCTGGCTGGGACGGGAGCAGCAGGAGGAATCGCTGTAGCGGGTTTTGAATGGAACGTGAGTATACAGAGAACTCTGAACGTGTCGTCTTTTGTCATCGCACTGCATGGAATGAAACTGAGCTGGTCTGTTAATCCAACACCTATAGCGCTGTATGAAGTGTGGAGGAGGTATGGGGCTTGTGAATGGATAATCACGTGCACTGTGTAACTTTCTGATTGGAGGTCTGTCACCTGCTTGTTTCTTTGGAGATGTTAGTGCTCTGCCTGGAATGCTCCACTGGATGACATTAAACAGCTCTTCATTATGTTTATTCAATTACAGGTGGTTTTATAGCTCAAAAATACCTAGAACCTGTAACTTGGTCTGATTTGGATTCCATCAAGATAGAAAGATTTTATAGCATACTGTGAAACATTTCTGACAACGCAATAACATCTCCATGGAGAAAAGCATTTGACGGACCCTCCATCAGAAAAATTTTATCCAAATCCACTTTATGTCTAGTTTCCAAAGTGCATAAAATGAAGACAACAAAAGGTATAATTGCTAAAAATGTGATCATACCAGTCCTAAGATAATAATCAAATTTAAGCAAAACCATACAATCACAAAATAGAAATAAAAAAGTACAACATGTTTTCATAATGCAGAAATGGGTTATTTAGCAGCTGAAAAAAAAAATGTTGTTTGGAAAGTTAGTCATATTTGAATATTAAGTATATTGTTTATAAAAATAAAAAAAAAAGAAAGAAAGAAACTGCCCAAAAACCCACCCAGAGTTGTGTTTTGTTTCATTCACACAAATCCTGCATATTTAGGCTGAGTTCTTCTCTTAAACTGAAAACACTTTGTGATGCCATGTTGTAATTCAGAAAGTGCTCTACTGTTGTTTTAAACTCTATACACCTTCAGTAGAATAATTTTGATCATTTGAGCCCTGGAATCTCAAATCTCTACAGAACCAAAGGTAAAAGGAGCTGTTAACTTTAATCACTTAATGACATCACAAGGTAGAAAAGAGCATTTTGGAGATGTAGACAGATGTAATTGTGGCCATACAGGCTTGTCAAAGCCTGATCCTGTCAGATCTCAGAAGCTAAGCAAGGCTGGGCCTGGTTAGTACTGGGATGGGAGACTGCTGGGAAAATCAGGGGCCACAGTGGGGCGCCTGTTGCAAAAAAACTGTTGTTGTGTCCTTAGGCAAGGCACTTCATCCACATTGCTTAGTATGAAAGTGGTGTGTGTGTGTAAGTGAAGGTGGTGGTCGGAGGGACCGATGGCGCCGATTGGCATGGCAGCCATGCTTCTGTCAGTATGCCCCAGGGCAACTGTGGCTACAGTAGTAGCTTACCATCACTGGGTGTGGAGAAAAAGAATAATGAATCTATTTTCAAAAATGCTTTGTAACGCGTCTTTGCGACATATGTCTGTGAAAAGCGCTACATAAATAAAGACTTACTGATTTACTTTCTTACTAATAAAGGATTTCTCAAACATGTGAATAGAGCAAAGCACAACTCCAGCGATGTTTTTGAGAAGGAAACAACATTCTAACATGGCTAAAAGCTCACAAGAGTCAACAGATGCTGCGTTATCTTCCAAATGAGAAGATGTTTTTGCATGTTTGTGGTTAATTTTACATCCCACTTTACAATTTAACTTCAAGTATCCTCAAGACTCTATTTTTAACACTTTTTGATGTATTGCTAAAACATGAAAATATTAATCATTAAAAAATCCAAACTATAGTTACATGTTTTTAAAAATCAATCATGTTTTCTATGGCTGGGTACTATTAGGCCTTTCAACAAATTTTGAAGAGGGATATATTGTTATATACTATACTGTGATAAACGATAATATTGAAACTACTTAATAATCCAAGATAATCCCACTAAACCTGTTTTTAAATAAACAGGATTATTCAAAACGCCTCAACTGAAACAAATAAATAGGAGAATGAACCAGTAATTAGCCATGGGAGATTAGTTATTTAACTCTCTAGGCCTCAAATCTTATTGCAACAAAAATCTTCACACTTTTACGAAGAAACTGTACACGATAAATATTAATTTCCAAAATAGATTGTTCCAGCATTTATATTTAATAAATCAATATAGGAATTATTGTGACATTCAAAAAACTAACTTTTTTACTCACTACTTTGAATAATCATTGAATCTGAACAAGTAACAAGTATTAATCTGAACCAGAAAAAGTCATGCATCGAGTATCTTTGGTGTATTTTAATGTTGATGAGTTACAATCTTTCTCCAGCAGATGGCACTAGTGCATGGTTACTCTCTCACATGGCAAAAGTATGAAAATGCACAGTAGACAACATTAATACTAGTCAATAAATCCAGTCTTATCCTTGTTCTCCTCTCTCCCACAGGCCACTTACGCTCTACTCGCTCTGGCCTGGCTCTTTGTTCCGGTCTACATCTCCTCAGGGGTTGGTTGATCTTCATGCACATTACTCATTTACGTGACAGATTAGAGCTGGTTCAGCAGGTACTGGAGGTGTCAAAACAGCTCTACTCTCCACCTAGACTATTCTCTACAGGCATGTTACAATACAAACTTATTCATAGGTTTCAGTCACGAGACTTTGTTGTTGCTGTTGGCCGTTTTGAGGACGTCATTATGGCCCATGTCCAATTTCTCTTTCCTCACTTTCTCTCTTCGATCCTGCATTTTTCAAGCAAAAGATATTCATTTTGTCTTCTTATATACTTTAACTTCTTGGGTTCTTTTTTAAGACAATGCATTTTCCTGTATTTTTCAGCTTTCAATCAGACACAGTATATTAAGTGGTGTCCCAAAGCTCAGAGGAGGTGAGGGAAGGAAATCACAGAGGAAACATGAGGGAGGGTTCAGGAGGCAGATCAGTTAATCAAACTTTATTTGTCTCAGTGGGGAGTTTACTGTATATTGTTGCAAGAGCACAAATACAGGGACAGCAGCAAAGGATGTTTAACCTGCTGCGTAATCTTGAATTTCAAACACATGTATCTGAAAATAAACTTTGATTTAAAAGTTCTGGAATAACAATTTAAAATAAGCCTAATTGCAGTAATTTTCTTCAGAAACAGTGTCTGAGGAAAGACAGTCCCATTCACCTCAGCTCGCGTCTCCTCCTACCTCTCTTTCCTCCCTGGCCGTATCTTATTTCTCTTTCCTCGCTTCCTTCTCCTTGATTCCTCTCCTCAATCCTCCATTTTTCAGATGTCAATCAAACACTCCATATTAAGTGGTGTTCACAGCTGAGAAGTGGAGAGGGAAGGAAGGAAACCACAGAGGAAACCTGAATGAGCGTTCATGAGCCAGACATCAGATCAAACCATAAAACTGTATTTGTCTCACAGCAGCAAAGCAGTTTGATTTTTACATTAAAATGAATAACAATTATGTTCAAACACATTTATCTGAAGGCAAAGAAAGCTGAAAGATTGTCAGTCCTCCTTCACAACACAATCATCATGCACCCCACTAATGAAACTACTGCACATCACATCAGGATTGTCAAGTTCCTGTGTACAGTATTTATATTATATTTACTGTGAGTTGTCATGTGGGAGCACGGTTGACGTAGACTTGTGAGCTGAGTATTGTACAGAATCTTACAGCTAATCATAAAGAGGGTTCGAATAGGGCCCGGGAGAGATCACTAAAATACTCAAACATGCATGTCATACCTCTTCAGTTATGTTTTGGATGAGGGAACAACTTTTTAACATGGTAGGAAGAAAAAAAAAGATTATACCCCCGCTTTAAATTTCAAGCTTTCATTATAATTTTTTGAACTTTTGTATTCTATTGGCTGCTTTCTACATTCAATCGTCTTCTTTTTTAGATTGTCACTATGCCAGAGTACCTTGGCCGTCGGTTTGGAGGAGAGAGGATCCGGACCTACCTGGCTGTTCTCTCACTGCTGCTGTCTGTCTTCACCAAAATATCAGTATGAAAACCTAAGTTCATATTTAGTTATTTTATATTGTTTTGTATTCACCCTGTGTGTCTGTGTGTGTGTGTGTGTTTCTGTCCACCCTCGATAATTACGCCATTTATGAACTGATTGTCACCAAATTTGGTATGTGGGTCAAACCCCCATGCCCGATGCCACAAAAAACGTTTGGTGATGATCCGAGGTCATTTGAGGTCACACGGGTCAATTGAAAGGTCACCCCATTATAAAGGATAAGCAATTTCGGCAATTTCTGAACCAATAATAAATAAAATATTCACCCAATCATCACATAAGTTGGCACACACATAACCGGAGTACACTGGATGTTACAGGTTGAAACCGATCAAGGTCACTTGAAGGTCAAGGTAACCAAGGTCAAATGTGTGTTTTTGGTCATAACTCCATGAAGGATCGAGCTAGAGCAACGAGAGTGGTCTCAAAATCTCAGAAAAATTATTATCTATTTATAATTCTATGCATTTGCATAGTAAAATATTAAAGATTTTCAAGATAATCACAGTTATAACAGTTCCTTTCTCTTTCAGTGTATGTCGTTAAAATTATAATTGGAATGAAAATAATTTCCATTTCTTCTTTTTCTGGTGATATACAACACACTGATCTACTGTCACAGCACTAACATATACGGAACTCATGACAAATTACATTTTTGTTACACACTAGTAAACACAGACATGCTCATGTGTGACCAGTAGCACACAAATGTTCATGGGCCTGTACAGATACACACATTGCATTGTGGATATAACAATCATGTAATATGGGCTGGGCTCCTCATAAGCTGCTTCTGTGCTGATGAACTGCCCCCACCGATGCCTCATAGGGGACCAGGTTGCTATCTCTGATTGCGCTTGTTTCTAAGGCTACTTGTTGGTAAATATTTGTTTTCTTTCCTTAGACTGACTTGTATTCAGGAGCCCTGTTTGTTCAAGTGTGCTTGGGCTGGAACCTCTATCTCTCCACTGTTCTCATGCTGGTCGTCACTGCTCTCTACACAATTGCAGGTAAAAGGAGCAATTAAAGGTCCTAGATTACACAAAATTGACTCATATGAGCTTTATGTGAGTCATGTTGGAATGTTCTTGCCTCCTCAGAAACATACCCGGAGTTGCATTGTTTGAGTAGTCCTTTATCATTAAGTTGTCTACATCTCCAAAGCTCAAAATGTTCTGTTCCACCTTGTGATGTCATGAAGCGGTAGTTTTCAAGTTAACCTTTTACCTTTAGTTCAGGGCTGAAATTATTCAAATGATTCTAATGAAGGTGTATTACCACATGACATCACAAGGTGAAACAATATCGGCAAGATTTGTGTGTTAAACATGTGTGAATGAAACAAAACACAACTCCAGGTATGTTTGTTCATGTGGTCATTAAAACAGAGATCAGAAATGTGCTTAATATTACTTAATAATATGTGAAAAAATATAAAAAATACATGTGATTATCATCATTCTGCAACTGTAGCTTTTACAAATTGAATTATATAAGAAAGGCGTCATTTTTCTTTTAAAATCTGCATAATCCCTCTTAAAGTCAGAGCGTATTTCTCAAAGACACAGATTCATTCTTGCTCATTACTAGCACCACTGACTTTGTTGCACCTGCGTTCATTAAAATAACACACACCCTTGCTAAGCCGTTATGTTTAGTCAATGTTTCAAGTGATGACTCATTTTAAACTAGACACTTGCAATATGTAATAAATAACAATGTGAGGTACCAGCTGTTACATAAGTGATGATGTGTGAAGGAAAAATTGTAGATTTCTTAGGTTTTTTGATTTCTGAAAAGGAGGATATCTTGTCTGTTTCAAAGCTGACAGATCTGATAAAAAAAAAAATATCAAAGGGTCACAAGCAAGGGATTTTATTCATATTATCTAATCAACCAATATAATTAATTATTTTGTAACCTAAAAGTGTCTTGCCCTTTTTTTTTTTAATAATGATGTCTGAGTGCAACTGGGCAACTAGCCAGCTAGTTATGCAGGTACTTCTATTGTTAAGCTGTTACCCTGTGGAAGGTGCTACAGAGCCAGCACATACAAGTGCAGTCGCTTCAAGCTGTCCTTCAGCCCACTACCTGATAACCCCCCCTCCACCAGTGGGTAGATTTCTGTAGGCCCCTTCAGCCCAACACTCTCCCAAAAAATTGTCCTGTGTGTTCATGTATCTGTGTGATTGTAAAACGAATTTCAGATCTATTATCAATCAATAAAGATGAACTATTAGTGCACATGTCACTTTACTGTATTTTTATTCTATATTGACCTAATTATGAGTTTATGAAGTGTACTGATAGTGACTGTAATGCATTTATTGTTTTATTCTGTCTGCCCTTTACACTTCATGCCCAAGACAACTTGACTCTTGTGGGACAATAATAAAGTTTATCTTATATTAAGATTTCTATTAAGTTAGTTTATTAGTTTTAGAATGAGTGAGTATAAATTGTTAATTAATCTGATATTGAACTTTGTTTCAGGTGGTCTTGCTGCTGTCATCTACACGGACACTTTGCAGACGTTTGTCATGATAATGGGAGCCATTATTCTGACTATTACTGGTGTGTATCTTTTCTTTGTCTCCAAATAACAACAGAAAAGAATATTGTGTGCGTAAAAGCCTTTCTTCTGCAGCCTTTAATAAAATCGGTGGCTTTGGAAACCTGGCACAGGCATACAGCATTGCAATCCCACGAAAGATCATTCCCAACAGCACGTGCCACCTCCCCCGGGCAGACGCCATGCACCTCTTCAGGGACGCTGTCACTGGAGACCTGCCCTGGCCTGGCATGACTCTGGGACTCACCATACTCGCCACATGGTACTGGTGCACTGACCAGGTGGGTGTATTACAGACAATTTCACTCCATTTTACACAATCAAGACAAATAAATTAACAAAAAATATATATAATGCTAAATGTCCTACTTAGATCATCTCCTTCTGTGAAACTGATGATTTGATCATTGATTTTTCAACTAGTTATTTTTGTAATTAATTTCAGGCGTGTACTAAGAACAGTTCTAGGAGGCATTTAGTTTCTGGAGCAAACAAGTCCAAAACAAATAGCAAATTTTTCAGTGCTAAGGGCTCACAAAGTCAACAATACAAAATATTAAGAAGAGGTGTTTTCTTTATTTACATTTTAGGTTACACAATCCTCACTATATACTGTACAAACATTGAAAGTACACTTTAAGAAGACATTTTGACTACTCTTCTTATTTGTAGATATTTTTACACACATTGTGTTTTTTTCTCCACATTAGTACAAAATAATTGTACAAATAACAACCCATTATAAACACCCCAAAAACACTGTCTGCCTTTTGTTCAAAAACATTAAAACAAATGATAGTAAACTTATAGAGATGAAGTGAAGTGCTTGGGAGTTTGAATTAAAATACAATTGCAAAACAGCTGCTAAAAAACACATTGTGTAAAAAGCGACTGCAAGCAACTTAGCATCATTCTTGTTTGTTAATCAAGCATTGAGCAAAAAAAGGGCCCATCTATAATATAAGGAACACTACGGTTGCAGATGTTAAATTTGATGGACCAGAAAGTAAATTCTTAGCTGATACAAGCTTCTTTTTTTTTTCCTGACAATTCAAAACACATAACACTAAAACATTTCATGATGACCGAATACCAGCCCTGTCTTTTTTTATAGTGCAGTCTATAGGAAATTCCTTCAGAAACTTGATGTGATTTACCAAAACTGGAAGTGGGAGCAGAACTCCATCCAGGTCTTATTATACATCCAACTGTCATGTACTTTAACTGTAAACTAATAAATTAACCAGTGACCCACACAATGTAAAAGGACACATTTGGGAAAAAAATACAGTCTAATCAAATATTCTAACATCCAGTCATTGCAGACCCCTGTTGACCCCATAGGATTGGCAGGTTCAGTTCTCACCAGTTGACATTTTACATTTACAGAGGCTGCCAGACGTTAACACTCCCAAGTATTAAGAGTCGTTGTTTAGTTAGCAAAAGATTCCATGTATCCTTTTTCCCCACTATTTCATCTGGTTAGCCCTGTTCATTTGAGGCACTTTCTTCTGTGACGCTCCAGCCCGTGCCTTTAAGTGTTTCAAGTTGCTCAGTTTAGAGAAAGAGACCCCTAAAAGTCCGGGGCTGGTCGGGGGCTGGTCCGGCGATTGCTGGCCCTTCCTGTAGTTGGGTTGTCGTTGCGGTGAGCGTCCTGACCGCGTCTGTACGTTGCTTTTGCCTGGGTCAGGAGGCAACATCTGAGACTGCCAGTACCGGTGTCCTCCCATCACAGGAGCAGCTGCCCTGCCCTGGTGATTGTGAGCCCCAGGGTTTGCCATGATGACCCTGCCACGTTCTGGAGATCTGGAGGACTCGTACAACTGCACACAAATACAAAGCAGGATTTTAGTTGATTTTCATTCAACTCTATACAGTATAGCGGAGAGCAAACGGGGACAGACTTCTCTAGTTCCTGAAAGTGAAGTCTCCTGAAAGATACAGTATTATGTGGTAACTAATCACCATAATTTTAAACTTTCAAATGCAGTGAAACATAAATATACCTTTGCAATCTCTAAAGCCTCTGAAAAAATGCCCTCCATACACGTTAACAGCAGGTTTTAATTGGCCAAATGTTTAAGGTTCATTATGCCATTTGTCTGGGGGAGTGCCACCATTTCTTGTCTCTTTAGAGATGTAATTGCATTGAATGTTTCACAGTGCAGTGTTGAATGTCTCTATATCTCTGAGATAGAGACAAGCAGGTGAGGATACAAGGCCAGGTTAGAGGTCAGATCTGTGGAGCAGCAAGAGCTCTCACAATAAGAATGCATGTTTGGAAATAAAAGCACCCGTCATTGAATAAATGCAAGAAAAGTTTAATGCCATACTGTTGAACATTCTAGATAAAGGGAAGGAACTGGCCTAATTCTGTAATTGGAGATAAATTGAATCCACTGAGAATTGTTAATGAAGCAGATTAAAGTGTAAATACACGGTTTGTTTTGATATGTTTAAACTACTGTTCTGCTTGACTTAGATTTCCCATCATTAGTTAGGCCTCATTAGTGATGTCATTCCAGTTATACTGCTGATGATCGTTTGTGTTTTTCCCCATAGGTGATTGTTCAGAGGTCCCTGTCTGCCAAGAACATGAGTCACGTGAAAGGAGCATCCATCCTGGCTGCGTATCTGAAATTTCTGCCCTTTATTTTCATCATCCTGCCGGGCATGATCAGCCGTGCGCTCTATCCAGGTGGGTGCTGCTCAGACACTCCTCGCCACATGCAGGGACTCGTTTAATGGCAGAGAAAAACACACCCTTTGGATTGAGACTTGTGCTTTTCCTGTAAGTCTGACTCAGCGCTGTGGTGTGATGTGGCTTCCTTTAAGTCTGGGAACTTCCACTACAGTTAAGTTGGTGCGTGCACACATTTCTGAAGTTTCAGTACCTTTAAAGGATTATTTAAAAAAGGGTGTGACATTTTCAGGATGTGTTCTACTTGTTCAAACAGCATATTTGTTCTGACAGGGTTTGGATATATTTTTAGATAGTATATTTTTATTACATGTAATGATAAAATTTTTTTTACAAGGAGACAACAATAGCCCAGTTGGTGTTTGTCATCTGATCCAAAGATTGGCAATTCAAATCCTGCTTTTGGCATAGCTCCCTCAGATGAATGTTGTCATTGTGTACTTGGGCAAGACACTTAACCCCGTATGAATGTGTGTGTGAATGGGAGAGTGGTTCCTTGTTGTACAGCACTTTGAGGGCCTTGAAGATTGAAAAGCGCTTTCAGAAGATTCTGAAACATGGCATGTTCAATTTAACGAGGCCTGAAATTTTACATCAAAGCAAGACTATTCTGAAATGTCCGCCTGCAAATCTCTGTATTGTTATTATCCTGAAACCAAACTTCAGAAACCTTATTTCATTTGCCGGGCTGACCAAGGGCCCTCATATGTGCTCTTAAGTTTTGGAAAATTGTACTTATTTCAATTTGGTCTCAACATTTTTCCAAAACTTGTGCACACAGCTACATATTACTCATTATTAAAAAAATAACGTCTTGCTTCAACTACTAACAAACAGGCTTCCCCTTATGGTGTAAGGTGTGTGGTGTATTTATTCACTGCTAGTTTGAACAGGCTTTTTACTAAATTAAATACTGAGAATGACTAATACTAATACTAATTTCATAAAGCGCCACAAGCACTTTTGAGTGTTTGCCCAACCGCAATGATGTTTTAAGCCATAATTACTATCTTGATATTATATCTTGATATTGATCTCAATATTGTTCAATATTTGATAATTCGAACTATATTTTTGTGGGTCAGTATTTATTGTGTGTACCTTTTCTTTGTACTGCTGGGAAATTTTTTATGATTTTTTGGCAATATGATAAGATTTAAGCCATAAAAGGTTGAATTAATAACTTCTATGACCAATTACAGGCACAAACTAACAACTAAAGTGTTTAATTTTACTGTTTATCTATTGCAGCTCATGACTTTTAACAATATTGTACATTTAGAATAGTTTTTCCAGTTTAAATCTGCTCTTGAGGCATAAATTTGTTTCGATATTATTGTTTATCGTCTATATTTACTTCAGCTATATATCGCCTTTCAAAGTTTGTTGTGGTTACCGGGCTACTTGTGGTGTGATATTTGATTGATTTGATTCTTAACAGGTAAGTCGAACAGCAGATTACTTCCAATGTTCTTGTTCAGTGTACCTTTTGTGAGCCAACATTCTATTATTAAGTTCTCTCAATCACTCGAATTCCAATGGGTGGGGCAGCCAGGTTTGTAATTGCCCCTTAGAATCAAAACAAACATGGCGGTGTATGCAAGTATGGCCTAACAGAAAACAGGACAAATACTATTCATGCAACAGCAGGTCGTAAGCCAAATCAACAAGAGACACATAAACCCTGAAGAAAGAAAGGTTTGAATATTTGTTCCTTGTGTTGTGTGCTATTGTTGTGTCTGAGTTCACAGAATTTTGTATCAGCTGACTTATTTTATTTATAAAGAGGGGCTATTTTGCTTCTAAGGGTTTTAACTGGCAACACAGTGCTATATGTGCTGAAAACAACATATTAACATGTTTTCACTTTCACTTTTTCTTCTTTTTTTTTGTTGATGTTCCGGGTCTCCCCTTACAAGAGAACATGTATTTCACTCATGAAACTACTGCATTTTGCATCAGGTTTGTCAGGTATCCTACATTTGTATATTTATGGAGAATTGTGGTGTGGGAGCATGGGCGATGTCGGCTTGTGGGCAGAACATTGCACAGAATCTCACAGCTAACCATGAAGAGACCCTGGAAGAGATCACTAAAATACTCAAACATGCATAAATGTCATCTAAAAGCTCTTCAGGCATACAACAGAATTTTTATAATTGCATAAAGATGATAAGGATTTCTATGCAAAACAGCAGATAGAAGAATGGAATGAGTGAGCTGGAGTTTTGGGAGGGACTATCCAGTTTAATCTGCCTTTTTTCTCAAGAAGGTGCTGTTTACACTGTTTTGTGCAAGATCCTTGAGATTTCAAGAGGTTTTGCCATTCTTATCTTTATGTCTACAGCCCTAAAACATTCCAACATTGAAATCACTCAACGCAGATGTTTGTGTTGGTCGCTACCCTCTCCTGCTATTGAAAAAAAGTACGGAGGATTGGCTCTAGGCCTGTCACAACAAACTATGATTGTGAAACAGTGCAATATATTGCTGAAGAAAAGGATAATACTGGAATAAATTAAGCAAAATCCTAAAGCAGAATGATCCCAAAAAAATAGTTTAAATGTACAATGAATATAGTTATAAATGAAACCCTTTAGTGCTCAATCATGTAAACTGAACCGTTTAGTCAGCCCTTCAGCTAAAATTTTAACTGTAATACAGAAAAATGGCACAAAATCTCAGTTGTTACAAAGAAAAAGCAGTACTCATGATAAATACTGACCTCCAAAAGTAATTCGCTCTGTGCACAACAGCGCCCTGCAACCTTACTGTTAGCGTCACCACTTCCTGTCCAATTATATGCAATTATATATTTATGGGTTTTTTGCTTAGTCTTGCAAAAATTACACTTCTACTTTTAGAACAGTAAAGGCTTGAACATCAACAAATTTAAATCATCTGCATTTAAAAATTATTGAATAGGCTTTACTTTAATTAATTTGAATTTTAACAGTTTGTTAATAGGTTGTTGTTTTATATTTTATTATTTTAATAAAAGTGACCGTTAACTTTGAGACACAGAGATATAGTCAGCATGCTCCTGTGCACAGAGCTAATTGTTCCATCTATCATGTACTGAACGATAAGACAATACAGTAATTATCATGACATATTACTTTGGTGTGTATATTCAGAATAAATATGACTAAAAATACACCAAATACTGACCTGTCCAATATGTCTGTGTGGAGAGTGAAAATTCTGCCTGCGCATCTGCTGTGACTGCCGGATGAGGGCCATGCTGTCCTCCGTCTGCGTGGGCTCCCTCAGGTCCAACATGCTCTGGGAGAATCGAGCCATCACGTTGAGCCCGTCACCCAGCCTGTTCCCCTGGTTGGACCCCGACGTGACCCCATTCACGATCGGCTCCTTCTGCTGCTCGGCTGGGGCGTCGTAGAACTCTTCCTCGGACCCCGTGGAGTTACTGGACGGGTCGTCTGTAACCCCCCGGTCACAGATGACCTTGGTGCTGTCCTGGCTGCCCTCCTCGTTGCTCGCAGAATCACGCTCCTCCCGTTGGGACTGGAGCCGGTGCCTGGTCATTTTCACTTCCTCTTTCGGGGTCTTTTGCTCGAGTAAACTGTCACTCACTTGGTCTATTTTTACTAACGTTACCTGAGCTTCGGTAGGCTTCTCTGTTGAGTCGGAGTCTATTACTAACTGTAAAGTGCGACGCTTGGGGATGGGGGGTGCTATGACTTGAGATTCTACTTGGTTGGCTATGTCCATTGGCTGTGGATTCTCCGTGATTGTTTTCTCTGTAGGAATATCTTGGCTAGGCTCCTTGTTGTCGTTTTGAACCACAGTCTCCTCTTTGCTGTCCACTTGATCGTTGCTAGCTGGAGCTACGGTTTTTACCTCTGTTGGTGTTGTAGCCTCTGTATTCTTTGATTTTTCATCATTCTCTACCTTTTCAGTGGGAGATAGTAAAGGTTTTTCTTCTGTTTTTGCCGGTGTGGTCAGTGGCGAACTAAACCGTATCGCTTGGCTCACCTCAAACCTTTCTGACCTTTGCAAGTGAACCTGATGGGCTCTCTTCTCATCTCGAATATTGATGAAGCCAATCACGTCGCTGGGAGGATCTGGCTCGGGCCATGTGGGCAGATACGGGATCAAATACGCCCTTTCTAGATGTGCCAATCCTGGATGCAAAGGCGGCTCCTCATAAACCTCCTTAATACGACCTTTCATTATTTTGAGTCCTGTGGGAAGCTGGGAGCTGGAGTTCTGTTTGGTGGAGTTTTGGTCGGAGGAGGTGGGGCTGATATGGTTTCCCGTGGCAACCAGAGCGTACTTGGGGTTGATGAGTTTGCGGGCCACGGTTGCTGAGACGGGGGCTGGGGCAGCATGGGGAATGGGATCGGGGATGGGTTCGTCGGCCATCGGTATTTTGCTGAGAGACACGCCTCGGGACAGAAGGTAGAGGTCACGGAACTGGATGTCAAAGGTCTCCACAGCCTGCCCTGTAATGACTGTGATGACGTTTCGGTCCAAGCGGGATGATGACCAGGTGTAACTGTATGAAACAACAACATGTATTTAGTCTTCTGATGTTAAAGAAGACAAATTGTGCTTGTACCTGCTATATAGTTAAACTCATTACAGTTGCAAACCAAGTACTAAAGTGTTTCATTCTGTTGTTTATTTATTGATTTTTAGTCTACATTTAGAAAGGTTTTTGTGGTTTAAATCTGCTCTTGGGTTATCAGTTTCAGTATTATCATTTATCATCTATATTTTCTTCAGTAATGCATCACACTTCAAAGTTTATTATCGTGACAGGGTTAGATTGTTGTGTCTTGAATACAGGAGAACAAAGACTGCTCAAACGTGCATGAATGACACTTCAACTTGGAGAGTGTAAATGAGGAGAAACAGGTATAGCATGGTTAAAATCTCACTTACGCTACACTACACTTTAAAACTATCTTTAAAAATCTGAATGGAAAACTCTGTAAAAAGTTTTTAATCTGGCACAAACTACATTTTAACTGTATACAACGAATTTAGAAATGATTCACCAGACCAAATCATGATTAAACACATAAAAGCACTTTTGAAATGCTTTTAGTCAGCAGCTTTAGTCCCCTCACAGGACTGGTGAATGTGCTTCCTTGTTTTGGACATGAAAAACCCCGTCAGCATGGTCACGGTTACAGGGCAGTGTGGAATGCAGTGAAAAAGGGAACAGCTCAAGGTTTTGGGCCACAGCTTTGACATTACCAGATTACTAAGCACCCATTTAAAATACTAAATAAGGACAATTATATTTAGAATAGAGAGAACTCAATGTCTGTCAAATTTATTAAAAAAATAAAAATTTGGGATAATGCCATATCATATCCCATACAGAAACAAACAGTGAAAGCTGTGAAGAAGTAACAGGAAACATTTGTTTTCTGGACTGTGTATTTACTGCAGCACTAAATCAACTATGGCCTATTAGTAGCATTTACAACTACAACATGCATGCCTGAAGTATGTGAGTGCAGAAGTAATCTTGGGATGACACAGCAGAGTAGAGAACATGTTTTCTCAGTGAATTTGCTAAAGCACAGAGTTTGTGTATAACTTTTTTGTGACCTCAAAACCCACCTGTATGACCCTGAGATGGCTCTGTCTCCATCCACCAGCAGGAACTTCTCTTTCAAAGATCCTCGTACTTTTTGAGCAGAGCGCGTCAGAAACTCCACACCTCCACAGCTGCGGACTCGTAAATTCTGAAAGTTTATAGAAAAAACACATTAGGGTGGTGATAGAGAGGTGGGAAGTAGAAATAATGGACAATGCAGTTCTGTGTTGAATGCCATTACAATGCTGGCACACAGGCTTTAGTGCTATAGCTGTATGTAGGTGCATGTCCTAATGGCACACCCTGTGTTATTTGTCTTTTACTCTGTGATAAGGGTGCGGTTTCAAGTACTGAGTAGTGAGCTAAATCTCATTGGAGACACTCTCCATTGATGTTTTAAGCGCCATTATAATCAAGATTTCAGATAAGAAAATTAACTCAACAATGAACTAGTAATGGAGAAGTGAGTAAAGACACTGCAGAAGTGAAAAGTGTCAAAACTTCCACAGGCGCTTAATTGTTTTATGTCACTGCCAAACCAGCTTCAAAGAATAACAAAGAGATTCCAGCAACTCGACGAGCTGGTGCTTGCACCTTTTCTACTCGTACCTACAAAAACCTGTTCAACAAAGGCCAGTAAGTTCTTACTGTAGGTACATGCGAGCTGTCCACTCAAGTCATGTGCACTAGAATAACAGGCTCTGACACAGAGCTATTTGAAAGTGAGCTAAACAAATGCGACGAGCTGTTTTTGTCCAAAAAGTTTGTGGGTGTGCATGTTTATACCTTTAGGTGCCCGCGGTGCATATCAGCTTGACCGCACATGGACAGGAAGCAGGACACCGAGGCTGTGTCCAGGATAATGTACACAGGGATTTTACGTTTGTAGGATGCATCCAACAGATCACGAAAGATATCCACATCTGTAAAAACATCCATGACCACAGCTATCACCTGCAAAACAAACAGGGGAGAAACATGTTTAATCGTGTCTGGGAAAGAATTAGAAAAGCCATGCACATCCAAAACTTTTGTGTCAGATCCAAAATATCACTTCAAATGTAGGTTATATATTAATCTACATTTGAAGTGATATAATAGTGATACAGTAATGGAATTTGAAATCAATAAATTACAAATCAAAATGGGAAAATTCTTGAGTCACTTTATCTGATGTTTCAACATTTGATTATAGTGAACTAGTTCATACAAACTTAATTTACAGACTATTGGTGATTATTAACAACTGCTGACGCCATAGTTCTCATAACCAGATTACAAAATGTGAGTATTTCAGACATTGCATTATAATTAAAGGTGCACTATGTAACTGTGGTGGAAAGTAACAATGTAAAATTAATACCATACTTAAGTAAAAATTTTAGGTATCTGTACTTACATAACCATTTTAAACTGGATACTTTTTATATTTACTTCACTACGTCTGACAGCATGTGTCTGTACTTGGAAAAAAAACTGCTAGGAAAAATATATTGTTTTTATTGTTTCTATTGAACAAAATTCAGCACAAATTTGCTGCTTTTCCTGGATTGTCTTACAGTATGGCATTAAACTTATCTATCTCCATGATGACAAGCAGGTGACATCATCAAGTCCACTTACGGGTCAGATCCATGGGGAGGCAAAAACATGCATAGTTGAATACATGCAAGATATTTACATTTAATACTATACTGTGGAACACTCTTGGCATCTTCATGATGCATGAGCTGAACTAACACCATTTATAGTATAGTATAGTTCTAGTGGACAGGCTGCTTTTCCTGTTTAAAGTGTAGTATGTGGCCTATAGGGTTGTGCTGCTTTGTCATTCATATGCTGATGTTAAGGTCATTCTCTTCACACATGTGTCGACGTCAGACTGGCTTCATTAAACATGAGTGATGGGCATGTGCAGGTCAGGCACATGCAGCAGGATGTAGGGCAAGAGAAAACCTGGAATGTGCAACAAGGCCGTGTGAAGTGAAAATACACATGATACATGAGCCTGAATGGTCCTGCTGGTATTTCACCTGTGTGTGTTTCTGCAAAATTTATGACTTACAGTTTATGTGCATGGTTTTGTAGATTTGTGTAAGGAAAGAAATGCTCATGGATTGGTTATTAACTGCACATGCATCATATGAATCTTCTTGTTTGGTCTCTGATAGCCAAGATAAAAATATAAGCTATAAGAGATAAGTGGTTCTTTAAACTTTTTACAGTTGCAGGGCCCATATTTCTGTATTTTCTGATCTGTTATAATGTTTCTTCATCACAAACATATCTGGAGTTGAGGTTTGTTTTATTTTCACACATTTAGCACAGAAACAATACCTATGTAGACCGAGTTTGTCTCTCAAATAGGAAACACTGTTCGATCTTGTGATGTCATGTAGTGATACAGGAAGTGCTCCACTGTGTTTTTAAACTCCATACACCTTCAGTAGAATCATGGATAATTTCAGCACTTGAAGAACAAAAGGTAAAAGGTAGCTGTTAACTTAAAAACTACCACTTCAAGACATCACAAGGTGAAACAGCATTTTGAGATTTGGAGATGTAGACAGACTAATAATATAGAATTACTCAAACATATGTGAACATTATATAGCATGGCTTTAAGCTCACAAGAGTCAGTTTTGCATGATACAGGACCTTTAACTGAGAGACAGAGAGAGAGAGAAAGAGAGAGAGCAATACTGAGGCCTTCATTTTAGTTAATTAGGCCTACGTGGAGGTTAGGCCTGCTGCTGTTTTAGGAACAGAGTTTCAGAGATTTGCAGAGTCTTTTTTCTGTTCTACAAGGGTTTCAGAGCTGTTAGCTGACCTGTGTGATAAAAACACCTGTAGTGTGAGGATGTTCCTCTGTCTGTCAGTGGACTTTGACAGTTCCTCTGAGGCTCTTATGTGTTCACTTGACGAAAGTCCAGTGTTGTTGTCTATTGATAGTGCCCATCACCTGATCATAATGCCTACCTTCTGTGCTGATGCAATGCTTTTGCGCACCACCTCCTTGATGTGCGTTTGGCCTTCTGATGGAGGCTGCGTGTGCACGTTCACGCGTGTCACTCCACGGTAGGATATTGACTCTGGCCATCCCAGGTCCAGTTCTGCCACCGAGAACTCGGAGCGATCAGGCCAGTACTGGAGAGAAAACGCATCGTCCCCGGCCCCTGGGGTCATGTTGCCCGGTCCCGGGGTCATGTTGCCCGGTCCCGGGGTCATGTTGCCCTGTCCTGGGGTCATGGGGGTGTCTGGTCTCTGGTGGTGCTCGTGCCCGGGTCGGTATAATTCCACGTAGTTCTCGATCCGGTCCAGCTCCTCGTCTGAGAGGAACTGACGCACGCCATGAGTTTTGATAAAGTCCATGAAGGCATCACGGCCGCTGTTGATGAGCGTCTCCACTGCGAGCCGCTGGTCCTCGCTGTAGAAGAACTCGGGTTTGCTCTCGTTCACGCGCCAGTTGACGTGGTGGTCGTCCAGGCACTGAACCTGAGACAGCGCCATGGCCCCAGTAGCTCCACTAGCACCGTTGGAAAAGTAGAAAAGAGAGTCTCACCCACTTTAACTCAGTCCACGGGGTCACTGTGGGGAAAAGTCGTTTTTGTCATGAGCACTGCCAAAGTGTCCGCGTGATCTGGGCTCGGGAACACGTAAACAAAAAAGTTTCATCTGAAAAAGAAGCCGTTAGATCAGCTCCACGCACACAGCCTCCAGCCCACTCATCTGCCTCTGTAACAAACTGTCAGGGAGTAAGTTGAACAAAGCTCTCCTCCCAGAGTGCGACACGCCTTCACCTGACGCTCACGGGACAATTACCTGCGCGGCCCGGTTTGACTGCGGCCCCGCAGGGCAGTGCGCACGCGAGGCTGTTGGAGACTCACAGTGTTTACTGTGCTGCTACTCTGAGCGGAACATGGAGGCCCAGGTCTGAGAGAAACACATAAACCCTCCCGGAAAGGCTGTAAAACTAAACACGAGACTGACGAGTCACTTCTCCTTTGTCTAAAGCCAGCGCCTCCCGGCTGTAGCACAGCTGTTCACGCGTCAAGATGGAAATTTGTGGGCTTCTCCGAAGGAGAAAAGTTCAATGAAGTCCACGTTTGTCCTTAATAATCCATTTAGGTCTCCGGACACGTACAAATCCTATGGGTTCAGTGGACGCAGTCTGTCTACACCAGGAATTTGTCTACGGAAGCTCGATTACCGGGGGCAGAAAGGCGGAGTGTCGGTCAGGAAAAGGGGGTTAACTCCACCCTCCTGCCCGGACACAAGGGCGAGAAATGCGTTACTCTCCCACAGTTAGTCTGTGTGTGTATCTGTGTGTAGGAGGCTAGTGCTGCTCAGGACCACAGAACTTACAAAATCTACCCAGAAAAGTAACTGTATGACTCTGCAAAAGTCAGCCAAATCACATTTTGGTGAGCTGTGGGAGTTGTATTCCTGTGTAATGACTGCATCACTAAGGCAGAATAGAAGAGACTCTGTGAGGTTAGGGACCGGAGACAAAGGAGCGTTTCTCCTGATCAGAGTATACAGTGTCACAGACAGCACCATGTCTCATGTTACAGGGGTATTTCTAATGGATTTCCCTGTTTTTAGGGCTGCATTCTGAGGGTCTGCATATGTCTGCACTAATACAAAGTAAAGGCAGCAGAAAGAATATCAGAATAGTTTTCTCTGATTTAAGGCTGAATATTTAAGGAATGAGGTTTTCAGCTTTGTTCCCAGTTCTAGCTATGTACATAATCAGAGGTATGTAGGGCACTTCTACTGACAAAATCATTCTTCTTTGTACTTTTACTTGAGTAATATTATGTTGAAGTAACGTTAACTACCCACCGGACTCTACTCATCCCTGTACATAATATAAATCTAATGATGCTTGAAGTAAAACTAGGAAAGTACTGTACTAAAGTATAAATTTTAGGTATTTGTATTTTACTTAAGTAGATTTTTAAATGGATACTTTTTACTTGTACTTTTCTACATACTGAGAGCAGGTATCTGTACTTTCTTCTCCAGTACATTTTAAATTTTAGTTTGAGACCTGATGAAAAGGCAAAACAAAAAAAGAAACAAAAATTTCAACTGTTTCAATTTCAACTGTTTTTGCTGAACAAAATTCAGCACAAATTTTGATGAAAATCTCTACATTTGCCTTATAAGACCTTAAAATCTATGCAAAATATACTTTTTACTCTACTAATTATTCGTATTCTCTAAGTACATTTTAATACGTTTATTTGTCGATTTTTTCATGTGATAATTTTACTGTTACTTGCTTTGGTATCTGTACTTTGACTTAAGTAACAAAACTGAGTCCTTCTTCCATCACTGTTTTTCAGATTCCGTTGGATGTGTGGATCCAGAGGAGTGTGTCCGTGTGTGTGGAGCCGAGGTGGGGTGCTCCAACATCGCCTATCCCAAATTGGTCATTGAACTCATGCCTAGTGGTGAGGATGGATTTGACATTATAACATTAAGTATATCACATTGTTTAAAACTGATCACAAATTAAGTCCAGGGGTGAATCTAGTGGAGATAGATAACATCACCTTCAGGTTCACCATTGCAACAAAAGCGGTATCCACCCTTGGTTTTCTTTTTCCTTCGTTTGTTTCCTGTTTGCTGGGCTCCTGGTCTCATCATGGCTGCCTCTGGTTCATGTGGTATTTCAACATAAAACCGGACATTTGGTTTGGCATCTTCTGGCTCAGATGTTGTAGATCTTGGTGGTTCCTCCTTAACTACTTTGGGGCTGGTGTTGTGGGACTCTTGATGGATGAGGAGAGCTTGTAACCTCAAGGTTTGTTTACTACTCCTGCTGAGATTTTTCGCTTCAGGAGTTTGTGTCTCTGCACGTGTCCAGTCTCCATCTTTGTTAATGTTGTCAACACCCTGTCATTTTCAAACAGGAAGATGGCAGGAATCTCACACCCATTGTTTAGTGTTGGGACCTAGGTTCTTTGAGGTGTCTGAACATTGGGAAGACATCTTGGTGGTCTCCGTTCTTTTGGTGACTCCATTCTGAAGGAAACTCCTCAGTAACCTCAGGCTTTGATGCAGGGGCCTGAACTTTGTTTTCAGTTGGAGTCTTGCGGTCACCTGCCTTTCTTGAAAGATGTCTGGGTGGTCTCTGTTCTTTTGGTGGGTCAGAGGGATACACCTTGATAACCTCAGTCTTTCAGAGAACATTCAGAGATTGAGGATACACCTCAATTGTTATATATACTTTGATGAGGAAACAGCATTATAACATAGACAAGAAAATAGCCTAATACAGGCCCTTTAATGTGTGCTTCCTTGCAGGTCTGAAGGGGCTGATGATCGCTGTGATGATGGCCGCGCTCATGTCCTCACTGACGTCCATCTTTAACAGCAGCTCTACTTTATTCACCATGGACATCTGGAAGAAACACCGACCAGCTGCTTCAGAGAAAGAGCTACTGCTGGTGGGAAGGTAGCACACCGCAAACGACATATCTACAGTGTAACTTCAATGTACTTGTCCTCAGTACTTTTGACTGCTTTACAATTTGTAGATCTAGATTTATTAAAAATATTTTTATTACAAGCTACATTATCTACCAGTGGATTTTTTAGAAGGACTAATAGCATGATAATAGAACAAAAGAAAAGAATATATACAGTGTGTGTGTGTGTGTGTGTGTGTCATGGCCATATGATTAATCGAAACCAGTAGACTTTGAATGTGTCATATATTAATTATTTATTTGATCATTTTGTCCCAGTCATGTCTATCCTATTATCATGATGTTACTGTACTGATAAAAAGTACAACCCAGATTTCTCTCTAGAAACAAACAAGGTAAAAAATATCAGTTACGATCAAGTAAAATAATTATTAAGATTATGATCCTGAATTCAAGTCATTTTTGCAGTGTACCGAGTTATGCTTGGCTGAGTGTGACCTATATTGTGAATACAGAGTGGTCCATAGGAGGTCAGACTTGTTAACAGTGCAGTGCTAGATATTGTATATACGCTGCGTTCCAGGATTGTGACAGTCATCCTGGTGGTGGTGAGTGTGGTGTGGATCCCAATCCTCCAGTCGGCCAACAGCGGACAGCTTTACGTGTACATCCAGTCTGTGACTAGTTACCTGGCTCCACCGGTCACTGCTGTCTTTACGCTGGCTGTGTTCTGGAAGAGGACCAATGAGCAGGTGACACTGTTGGAACACTTCAATAAATAAACACTAACATATAAGGAAGAATTTTTAAAAGATATCAACATTTACTCCACTCCTAAAGCTTTCAGCCTCTCTGAACTACACTACTTCTATGGTTTTACTCTCTTACTCGGGAATAAAAGGTCAATTACTCAATTATCAATAACTGATCAATGATCATAATTAACTTTCTATAATTACTATATTAATAACTGAAATACAATGTCCCTGGTAAATACACTAATAAAATAAAACCGATAAAATGTTAACAAAACTTTCTTAATTGCAGCATTAGTCCAAAGGAGATATTTCTTCTAACAGTTGTTTGTCACTCCAAGTATGTAGTTTCACTTTGAGTGACATGTTTAACTGCCAACATGATGGTAACCGGAAATATGTTGCCTAACCTTTTATTGTAACAAGTATTACAGTAAGTAATATTATTTTGTAGAATAGTTAAAAATATTTTAAAACAAGTCCTCACCTGTCACAATCATTAATGTGCAGAGTGATATTCATGTTCACAACATTATCATCATATTCATATGATATTTCTGTAAAAGCATATTGTATTCTTACCTGAGTGGGTGTTTAGAAAGGCACTGTATAAATAAAATGTCTTATTATAGTCATCTACGATGCATGTTTCGCCCATCGTCAAACTCTGTTTGCTGTTGGTCGTGTTTTTAGTGATTAACAAAACACTTCTGTTTGTACTGTAATATTTCGAAGCTTATTAGATTTTGCAAGTCAGCGTTTGACTTTCTAACAGCCCTCTAGATTTACACCAGGTTTATAAGCTGTGTTTGCATGGACGTGTAATGTTATATGAGGCGCACATGACACACATCTGTCTGCCAGCGCCCCGACTGACTCTTCACCGTTACACTGACCACTCACTATTAAAACTCCTCCTCACTAATAGACTGACCACTCACTATTAAACTGACTCCTCACTGTTAGACAGCCTCCTAACTATTACTCTGACCACTCACTGTTAGACTGACCACTCACTGTTAGACTGACTCCTCACTGTTACACTCCACTCAGCCCTTCACACGTTCCCCATTCATTTTCTCAGGTGGATTGTTGTGAATTACCTGCGCTGGAAGCTCAGTAAATCAGCCTCACTTTCACTTAAGCGACATGTCTATCAGATAAGAGGGGAGCAGCTACTCTCAAAGTAAGAAAAAATTATAGAGCAAACTGCGGGCTGTAGTATTAGCTTCCAGATAATTCTTGTATTGACACATCTCACTGTCAAGTAATGACTAGTTCTGAGGAATGTGGTGATTGGACCCTTTTTTATTGGAGCAGGGTGTGTCTCCTCCTGTGCTGTCGGCATGTTTCTCTATCAGCAAGACCTGCCTGAGGTCCTCTAAGGAAAGTAGAGCTGTGCATTTGGCAAGCAATATATTTTTCAGTGCACAGCTAAAGGGCCAATATTACGCAATTTTATGATTTGATGTTATAATATTGTTTTTTCAACAAAAACATACCTGGTGTTGTATTTTGTTTCATTCACACATGTTTAACACACAAACCATAAGTTCTTCTTTCAAATGGAAAATATAGTAATAATATAGGAATTGTGTTTTTCCTCTGTGTTTTTATATATTTCCCTAGAATCATTTGTATAATTTCATCCCTCGAATTGCCAATCTCTATTAAACAAAAGGTATGTAGGTAGTAAAATGTTAGCCAGATTGGCACCACCGCTCAATTTCATTTCTCTCCAGGGACTAGGTCAGGAATCGGAATACACTAGATGGTTTTCAAGAACCCCGGAAGCTGTAGACCACACCTGGCCAATCAGCGAAGAGATGTGAAGCCGTGATGTCAATCTCAAGCGCCTGCCTAAGTCAGTAAACAAAGCGGTCGAGATGGATGTAGACGACGCCATATATTCTGTGCTGGCAACTATTCCAGAGATCGAGGATGTAAAGCCGGAACAAAGAGAATGTTTGGTGAATTTTATCAAGGGGAAAGACTTTATTGTCCTTCTTCCTACAGGATTTGGCGCATTATATACATTACAACCAAATAGCAATGATTGGTTAAATAAAAATAATGCCCACCTACCGTCGAGCGAACAAATCCTAATGCTGCGAGGTCAGACGGTTTCCATAATGTGAAACCGGCTGATTACTCAGGCTAGTAAAAGGTAACTGCTAACTTGAAAACTACTGCTTCATGACATCACAAGATGGAACGCTGCATTTTTAGCTTTGGAGATGTAGACATATTGATAATAAAGGGTTTCTCAAACACAACTCCAGGTATGTTTTTGAGGAGGTAACAACATTCCAACATGACTCACATGAACGTCATATGATTCAAATTTGTGTGATAAGAAAGACAAAAATAGACAATCTTTGATCTTTGATTGAACGCATACTTTTCCAACGATCATATCAACAAGAACTGGTTTATCTTATAGAGGGCTTGATATTCATTTACCCAGCAAGCCTCATGCTACTGGATTTTATGTATTTATTTTATTTATTTTTATTTTTTTCTGACTTGCTGAGTAATTTTTAGTTCAGTAAGATCCCCAAATAATTTTAACATAAATTTATTGTTTGAAAACAGAGGTAATGTATTTCTGTATCACAAAGTATATACCTAAACTATAGTAAAAACCCCAACTGTCTAAAAAACCTTTGAGCAAGCCAGTGACATATATGCAAGCTTACATAACACAAAATTATGATAATATAATTCACTTTATGATGTGTGACATAACTGAATTTTTTAGAGCTCAATCAAACGCTATCATCATGATCAGGAGTAAACATGAGCTGCCTTAGCCTCAGTGAACTTTGGACGACAATTTAGTGGCAATTCACACGCACTTGCAAGGTAAAATTAAAGGTGGGGCTAAATTACACAGAAGTGCCACTTGTATAGACTGTATATAACCCAACCAGCATAGTGGAGCATTCTATAGTGCAGCTTGTCAAATGTATGTTAAAGAGGAGGTATTTTACTCCTATGGGTTATTAACTGTGAACACGTAACATTTAGATTTCCATGTTATCTTGTGTTGTTTTGAAAATGCTACTTGCCAAAAACAATGTTTTACCATATTATACATTTTTATATTCACTTTCCTTTTTGATGCTGTAAGTCCACTCTCCCTTTGCTCTTCATTCAGAGCACTATCACAACACAATCAGTGTGCATCCTGGTAATGAAACTACTGCACATCACATCAGGTTTGTGAAGTTGTCATGTATTTTATATCATTCTTTTGTATATTTATGAAGAACTGTCATGTGGAAGCGTGGATGATGTAGTCTTGTGGGTGGCGCATTGAAAAGAATCTTACAACTAACCGTAAGGAGGGTTTGAATAGTGTCCCAAAGTACAAGAACAGTAGGACAATAAAAGCACTGTATGCAGTCAGACATCAAGAATAACAGAAGTTAATCAATAAATTAATGTGAGTAATCCTTTATTATTAATCTGTCTACATCTCCAAAGCTTAAAATGCTCTGTTCCACCTTGTGATGTCATTTTGTGGTAGTTTTCAAGTTAACAGCTACGTTTGACCTATAGTTCGCTAGAGATTGGTACCTGGAGGGCTGAAATCATCCAAATGATTCTAGTGAAGGGGTATGGAGTTTAAAAACACAGTGAAGCATGTGTTGACTGTTTTCCATTCAAAAGAAGAACTCTAAATATGCAGGATTTATGTGTTAAACATCTTTGAATGGGACAAAACACAACTCCAGGTATGTTTGTGATGATAACAGATCAGAAAATAGCGTTATATGGGCCCTCTACCATATATGTTGAGTACAATTAAGATACAAAATGAAGTCAAATTAATATTGAGAATAATATAAAAAACTGTTCAAGTAGAGTGAGCAAAAGTGGTATTCAGAAAGTGCCAGTCTTGTAAACATTCTATTCCAAATATTTATTCAGCTGGTTAATTATTAGCACAAAACAAGTTACATCACAAAGAACTATCAACTCAACTTATTTAGAAATGATTGATTTGTGCCCACAGGACCAAACGACCGCATCTCTGTTAGAATGCGGTCAACTCATGAGGTCAGAGGGCACGATCTCATTACGTGTTAAGAGCTGTGCAGACAAGCACACAGAGATATTACTGTCTGTACATGACGCACGCTCCAGCCAAAACCTCTCTAGTGACTAATCATGTTGTCATTAAACTTATTAGATATACAGGGATAATAACCATATGAGGTGAAGGTATTTGTTTGTGCTACTGCTTAAAAACACTTCCTAAAATCAAAATTGAACAGGGCAGCTATTTCATAAGAATTTTTTCAATAATCACAATCAAGTACAGAGGAATGGACTCAGATAGGTAGGGTTGTCTAAGTATAGAAAAGTAGATACTAATTGATAGTAAAACTAGTATCGAAACTAGTTTTATCATCACAGTTATGGCATGATTAAATGCTCGTGTTTGCAGAAAACAACGTATGAACATGTTTTATAACTTCCACGTCACTCCCCCTTCACAACACAGTGAGCGTGCATTCCACTCATGAAAGTACTGGTCAGGTTTGTGCAGCTGTTGTGTACAGTTTTGTATTATGGATGAATTGTAAAACCTGTTCAGGCATCTTTTTGATGAGGGAACAATGTTATAACATGGTGCTCAAATAAATCAATTGTACATAATACCCACTCTATAAGTGAAGAATAGTTCAGCATTAACTATCATTACCAAAGGAGTGAAAGTGCTTCTGTCACTAGGCAAACTGGCAAACCCTGCCGTGACATGTTTATTATTGTAGAACAGACAAACTGCACCTATGAGATTTTTGTAGGTGGATTCTTAAAGGTATTGTGCAGCTCACGTGCATGCACTGACAGTTACACTTTAGAGCAATGAGAAAAGTGAAAATATCCTGTACACTCTTGACCCCAGAGTAACAGGAGCTGTAAACATGGGTGGGGAGAGGCGGCAAAAATCACACTATTTAAGACAGTATAAGAATACTGTTTTTTTTTTTGTTTTCCTTTCTACTATGTTATAACATTGTTCTCTCATCAAAAACATGCCTGAAAAGGTTTTAGATCTCATCCATGACCATGCATGTTTGAGAATTTTACCAATCTCTCCCGGGCACTATTCGAACCCTCCTTATGGTTAGCTGCAAGATTTTATCCAAAGCTCCGCCCACAACCCTATGTCACTCATGCTCCCACATTCTCCTTAAACATCCAAAAGCAGGACACGACAACTTGACAAACCTGTTACAATGTGCAGTAGTTTAATTCAAGAGATTAGCAGGATGCAGGGTGATTGTGCTCCGATAGCACTCTGAACAGAGAGCAAAGGGAGGGGAGAGTCGAAAACGAAAGTGAAACTTATAAATAATATTAATATTGAATTAGTCTTATATAGCGCACTTCCAGACGCTTGCTTTACAACTTGGTGTATCATTCATTCATTCATTCCATACCTGATGGTGGTAAATTATTATTGTAGCCACAGCTGCCCTGGGGCAGACTGACAAAGCTGCCAACCTGCACCATCGGTCCTTCCGACCACCACCAACACTCATGCACACACCACTTTCATATTTGGCAATGTGGTTAAAGTGTTTTGCCACACAACAGTTTTTGCGACTGATCTGATGGGATCAGACTTTGACAAGGAGGTCTAGCCACACGCTAGAGATTAGTGCATTATTTTCAATGAATTTAGCATTTTCAAAACAATAAAAGGAAACCTGGTAATCTAAATATGTTACGTGCTAGCAGTTAATACCCTATAGAAGTCAAATACTCCCTCTTTAAAACTATATTATCTTATCTTATATTATCTTATATTAAGTAGAGAGTAAAACTGTTCGGTGAAAGTACTATATCTAATCAGGCATACTGTTTTGTAAGTAAATATTGTACAGACCTATCTATAATCCACCAGCGCAGTAACTGCTTGTATGTGTTGACAGGGGGCATTCTGGGGCCTGATGGTGGGCCTGGTGGTGGGCGTGTGTCGGATGGTGTTGGAGTTTGCGTTCCCTCCTCTCAGGTGTGGGTTGGAGGACTCTGCTCCGTCCGTGCTCAGAGACGTGCACTACCTCCACTTCGCCATCCTCCTGTGTGGCCTCACCGCGGGGGTCGTGGTGGTGGTGTCTCTGGTGACTCCGCCCCCCAGCCAGGAACAGGTGTGCCAACCATTACAGTATCTCAAAGCTATGTTTGTGCAGGTGGAAACGCATCAACTGGTAACTGCCTGTGTGTCCTTTAGGTTTTGTCATTTGATTCCATTGTATATTTTTGTTAATTTATGTAAGAATGTACAATTTTAGCTTGGTGATTTTGTAGAGAAATAAAACTTTTATACCTATACTTTATACTGTAGGATTTTTATTTTTAAACTTTAGATTATATTTAGATATTGTTGCTTCTAAAACCTGGTAGAATGAATTAAAATTGTAGTAAAAAACTACTGCCATTGATCATTTGGGTCACAGGGATTGGCCACATATGCCTCAGTTTGTAAACTACATACATTACAACAAATAGGAACCAAACAACATACAAGATACAAGACAGACATTACGACTGAAGATTACATACAAATAGGGACAAAGATGATGGGTTGGTGACAGTTTGAACCTTATATGTGTGTGTCTGTGTGTGTCTGTCTGTGTGCATATGTGTGCGTGTCTGTGCGTGTGTGTAGGTGTGTGTATGCGTGTGTGTGTGTGCATATGCGTGCGTGTGTGTGCGTGTAGAGTAAATTCTTATATTTTCATTCATCTGTGCATACTTTGGCAAAATATCTTAATGTTTTGTCATGAGACATCAGCATTGTGGGTGCTAGTGAGGGCATTGTTGGGCTCTGTACATGTGCGTTCTTGTCTATTACTTAAGCTGGCTTTGATGATTTTATCCCTAGATTTGAGTTGTGCTATATAAATGCAATTCAGAGTTTACAAAAGTGTGTCAGATATATCAGTTGATATACTGGGTAGATAATTGCACTTCTTGCACTTAAATCTGCAGTCAGGTCATTTGTTTGGACTAAAGACTAAAGTTTCATTTGAGCACTTTTGTGTGAAGAGGACACTGCACAAAATGTGATTACAGCTTTAACAGTTGGTACTACAGAACAAGGTTGTGCATGACTTCCTACTATAAATTCATTCATATTAGATAAATTGGGTTAAATAATCACAATTTGCCCAAAATATTAGCCCTAAAAATCTGCAGATCTTATCGACCATTGGTTTCTCTTCATCTGGAGAGAAACCAATGGACAATAACAATCGTCAAGAGCTATAAAAGAAAAAAACAGTCAAAAATCTGTTCGTATCTAATCAAAATGCCAGGTTGAGATGGTTTAAAGATATTCTGATGAGAGAAACGAAATGTTATGAAAGATAAGGTAAAGACAATGCAGCTAGTTACATACGTCATAAGTGAGATCTGTAGAGAGACCCATAAGATTTACGACTGCAGTAAAATGCCACCAGGGATTTGTTGTGGAAATCTCACATGGAAACAACTGAGAGGAAAAGTCCATATGTTCCCACTGTGTATGTAGAACTCTTCCATTCTTGAATAGTGTATTTACCATGGTTTTGTGTTTTCAATGTTTTAACTTCTCTTGCCATTACGTAGGGCCCCATTGTTGGCACAGCTGTGTTTTATCAATAGAAACACAACACACTGTGATAATAGCTGGATTTTCTCTGTTTTACCTCCATACAAGGTAACAGTTTCATCCATGTATATTTATATCCAGGAAAAAACAGTTTAGAAGCTTACAAAGTTTGGAATTGTTTTTAATTAAGGCAAATGGATTTGTATGATCCATAAAAGAACTTACAATGGACGCTATTGTAACTATAATACTTATACTTAGACTCACAAACTGATGTCACTCATGCGATGACTTGGGTTAAGCTCCAGACAATAAAGAACTGCAGTTAAACCCAATGGGAGTGGAGATGGTATTTGTTGAGTATTAGTTCCTTTTGAAGCTTAGTCACTGCTGTTTATTTTTAAAAGGAGCAAAAATAAAATATACAGTATAAGGGAACAACAGATTCAGTATATCTCCCGTGGTATTGTGAAAGGTCCTATATTACGCAGAACTGACTGAGCTTTTCGTCATTTTATAATGCTACAAAACAACATTATAACATGGATCAAAATGGCCCTGTGCCCTTTAAGAGTCACACGTAAGGCTGTGAAATTTTGATTGCAATTGTTGCTATGATATATTACAAAAAATTAATAATATAATTGAATCTGTTTTCAATAATAATGGTGTATAAAATAATGTGTTTTTCTTCATAATCAAATAACCTTAACACAAGTGAAAGTCCAGTCCAAACTTGGCTTCATGTAAATACTGCATACTGTATACAGGCAGTACATTGAGTTGCTTTGTGTATAACTCAGCTCAGGTTACCACATACCACTGGGCTGTATCTTTGTGAGATGGAAACTCAGTCCCTAAGCCAGTTTCCTGTTTCACAAACTGGTTTGAAGTGAGTTCTGTCTGTCCTGTTTACTTAGAGGAACAAAGTCATTAGAGGGCGGTGCAGAGATAGAAGGACATACACTTAAATAATGTCAGTAACCTCAGGGGTGGGGACTGACTGCATCTTTTCATATCCCAACATCTTCCATCTACAGATATGTTTACTTTTTTATTTGATGTAATTAATCATTGACAATCGATCACAGTCGCTCAGCTGGTGTTTGTCCACTGACCTTGACATAAACAGAAATTAAGCAGTCAGACCCACTGAACTACAGGTTGGTGGTGTGATTCCAGATCCCAAAGATGAATGCTGATGTTATATCCTTGGTAAGACACTTAACTCACCTCTCCCTCAGTGTCTGTGTACACTGGTATGTGAATGGGTGAGTGGTTCCTTCATGTACAGTGCGTAGGTAAAGGCTTGAAGCTGGAAATGCGCTATATAGAAATTTGTGTCTGTAATCATGGGCCAGTATCAGGAAATTTGTCCTCTCCGTTTGACCCATCCTTCCTCCAGTGCATGAAGGTTGGGTTGGGGAGCACAGTGCAGCTAGCCAGGCTGGCGCCACCTAGTGCTTCCACTCAGTTTCATTTCTCTCCAGCAACTAGGTCAGGAATCAAAATACAATAGATGGTTCGCAAAAACCCCGGAAGTGCAAGTTTAGGCAAAGATTCATATATTCAGTGTTGTCAACGATTCCCGAGATCAAGCATTTAAAGTCGGAACAAAGAAAATGTTTGGTGAATTTCATTAAGGGGAAAGACGTTATTGCCCTTCTTCCTACGGGATTTGGGAAAAGCTTAATATACCAGTTAGCCCTGTTAGTGTTGCTTTACATACCTGACGACCAAATAGCAGTGATTGGTTAAATAATAAAAAGTACCTGCCGTCGAGGGAACGAATTCCAACACTGTGAGGTCAGACAGTTTCTACGAAGTGAAACAAAGTGAAACCAGCTGATGAATCAGGCTACAGTGCAGCGCCCAGAGAAGCTCAAAATAAACAATCACTCTAATAACTTTAATATAATATTTCTATAGCAACTTTTAAACACTTGTTGAATGTTGCTTTGCATTAATATTATACTGCCTACACATAAAAATATAACTGCATCACATGCACCTCAAAGGATTTGGGAAATTAAGAAGATTTTTTTCTCCTTTATTCTAGTTGTTCAATTTGACCTGGTGGACCATCACAGAGCCCCCACCCAGAGACATTCCCTTGCAGAAAGTGTCCTCTGTCAGCCACCGTAGCTCTCAAGGTAAGAATCTGGATACGTTTCCCTTTCACTTCCTTGATTCCTTTCTTTTACAGTGTTTATTTTAGTTTTCATGTTTTCAGTATTTAAAGTAGGACGAGTTGAAAAGACATATTTTATTGTGAAAAGTTGGTCTAATGCTGTGTTTCCTGTGTGTTGTCCAGAGCCAGTGAGGCGGGGCCCATGTGGTCTGGGGCCCACTTCGTGCATGGGGAGAGGCTCTGAACAGGCCCCGGCCCCCAGAGTGCCCAGTGTGAAAGAAAGCGTCTTCTGGTCCCGCTTCTGCTGTGCTAATGCTATCCTCCTGGTTAGCGTTAACATATTTCTCTACGCTTACTTCGCCTGACGACAAGGAAAAATCTGTTTGTAGTTTGAAATGTGCAGATTATATTTAGACTTAGACTAACTTTATTGATCCACAAGGGAAATTACTTAGAAAACAAGGGAAATTACTTGCGATGTATACAGTTTTTTATACAGTTTTTTTTTCCACATGTTCATACTGAGACTGGCAGTACAGACATTTTAGTTGAATAATTTATTGAATACAGTTTTTGAAGTAAATACTTTTTGAATTTATTAATCAAAAAAGGGATGAAAGTAGACTATGGAGGACCACTAAGTCTCTTACTATTTAAAAAAAATAAAATAAAAAGAACCTGTATTGCCAGAGCCTTAACCTTCAGACAGAGGATACATACAAGTTTGTCTCAGTTTATGGACAGGCCTCGCGTGAAAGCTCAGAACCTCCAGAATTCCCTCACTGAGCTGTAGAGGCTGCACTAGCACTGAGCATTGATTGCCTGCAGATGCCGGGGTTTAGATAGAAACCATTCAGATCAGAGAGAGGCGTTTTAGGTTTAAACCAACTGGATTTCAGCACTGAAACTGGCAACTGAAATAAGACTCATGATTTCTGATTGAATCATCTTCTAAAATACCAAATTACAACTTTAACAATATGCCCAATGTTTTTGAAATTAAAAACAAAACTGAATTATAACTCTTATTGATTGAGAGAGATATAATTATTGTTAAGAAAAAGAGAGAGAGACTTTTTGTTTATTTGTTGTACGTGTTTTTGTCCGAATGTCACATGTTAGGATACTTAGCCTGGACAGAGAGAGAAAGAGAGAGAATAAACAGAGAGGAAGAGAGAGAGACAGCAGGGTAGAGAGAGAAAAAACTGTATCTCCAACAGGAAATACATGCCTGCCAAAAAAGGAAAAAAGAAAAACTTGCCTGCTACACCCAAAAAGAGCAAAAACAACAGTGGACTGCATTGACATGCATCGAGTCTTAATCAGAGCGCACATTCCTGATAGTTCCGGAACCCAGACTAATACAGGAGATATGACTTTAATAGGAGTGTCCTTGTTTAATGAGCAAATACTTTGACCTAGTTTTTCTGACATGAATTATTATCCAGTGTGTACTGTGCCCTTAAGCTAGTCTTGAGGCTACTTTCCAAAAAGACATTATAGATTAAAGTTTAGGGATTTAAGACTGCACTGGGAATTCTCTGTGATATTACACATTCACGCAATACACAAATATGAGTGAAAATAATGTCTTTGTGGGTTTAAAAGTATTCTAAAGACATTTTAGTAAGCAGCTACTGTCTCATAATACGTAACTGATGTATTTCTCAAGCTCAAATATTTGAACATCTAATACAAATAGTACGTCACTTTCTTTTTTGAATACAAGATAGATCCTGAGGGAAATTGCAGTGGTCTGTTGCTCACAAAACATCAAGACAGTGTAAATAGATTATCGTAAATGTGCTTGTAATTATTGTAATTCTGGCCACAACAATTTAAGGCACCATTTTCATAACAACTGTATTGCACTTAATATTAATTGATGAATTCTTATGCTTTTCAATTTACCAATAACAATTATATTGCTGATTTATTCTTAACTACAAATGTATTGGACATGGCTAAGTTATAATTTGGTGTTTTGGTTCAAGACAGTTATCTAATCAGAAAGCAGAATGAGTCTCACAGGATGACAGAATGATCTCTTTTTTGGGTTGTCAGGTTCAATGCTGAAATCCTGTTGGTTTAAACCTAAAATGTCTCTCTCTGATCTAAACTGGTCACTACCCACAATTCAATTTTCTTACTGTAAAAGAAAGTTATTAGAATTGTCATTATGCACATTACTATGCCCCAACAAATGCTCTTTTTTATAAAATTAAATACATTAAAATGACATGATCTTGTTGATCTCAATACTGCAATTGTGATGTTTAAGGCACATAATAATATTCTCACTCACTGTATCCAAGAGATGTTCAAACCCAGAGTGAGCACAATCTGAGAGGATTGGGCCTCTTTCAGAAGGCTAATGTGAGGACTTGCCTGAAAAGTCGATATGTGATCTGTGGAACAGTCTGGATGAAACATTAAAAGACTCTAAAACAATTTACACATCAAAACATTTTCAAGACCAGAATTATAGGGAAATATAGAGAAATACAATAAATCATGTAGCTGATCTTATAGATCTTACAAATTAACTGTAACCATCAAATATACAAAGTGTCTGTGTATGTGTATTTATATACCTACAGGTATGAATACTAACTTGTACATGGATCAGTGTGTGTGTGTGTGTGTGTGTGCGCGTGTGTGTGCGTGCATGCGAGTGTAAATGAACATTGACGTGTATGGGATTGTGTGTCTGTGTGTGTGTATGAGATTTGTCTTTTTTCTGTAAATAGTTCTGCTGTCTTGTGTCCTGTTCTATATGGGTTAGGCAAAATAAGTGTTAAAACCTTGCTTAAACTTTCTGTAAATAGTTTAAATGCTGTTCTATATGTTAATTGGGTTAGGCAAAATAAGTGTTAAAACCTCGCTTAAACCCCTTCGATCTATAGAATAACTTTAGTGCAATGCAAATCATTGCAATATGATTAATGATCATGTTAATTGACCGAAGAAAAATTAACTAATTAACCTAAACTCCAGAACCTGCAGCCAATCATGAATCAGTGTTAATGCAGCCTCTAATGCTGCTGTATATGCTGTCCATGCACTAACAATCTCTACAAATCTATACAAATTAAAGCCCTGGCAACCTGTGTTCACCTGTGATTGTATTACCTGTAGTTTTAAAACTGTAAGAGTGCAGGCTACATACGGTTCCTTTAAAAGTATTCTGTCAACACCTCATTGCTTTAGACAGGAGTTCCCAAACCTTCAGGTTAGGAATGGCCTTGCAACCAACCTGGCACCCATATATATACATGTATAAATTTAAAGAGTTTAAAGAGGGTGGATTATGCAAAACTTTTCTTTTTTAGTTTTTTACCATGTTTTGAAGTTGTTCCCTCATGTAGATGTCATCCATGCATGTTTGAGTATTTTACTGATCTATCCCGGGCTCTAATCATACCTTTCCTATGGTTAGCTGTAAGATTCTGTCCAAGGCTCCACCCCCAGCCCTACTATGCTCCTAACCGACAATCCTCCGTAAATACATAAAATCATGATACAAAACAACTTCACAAACCTGATGCGATGTGCAGTAGTTTCATTAGAAGGATGCACACCGATTGTGTTGTGATCACGCTCTGAAGGGGGAGTAAGCAAGTGAAGGGAGACTCAAAAACAAAAGTGAAACTCATTAAATATGATAATAGTTGTTCTCAGCAAATATACATTTTCAAAAGAATAAAAAGTAAGATGGTGATCTAAATATATTATGTGTTAACAGTTCAGTAAAATACCCTCTCTTTGATATTATTTATTGTAGTGCTTTATTGTGTTAATTTAAAAATCAATGTTTTCAATGTAAATTAATTATACTAAGTTAAGTAACAGGTAAAACTATAATAAACAGTTAAGGGCTACATAAGAAAATACTAACTTTCTTTTTTAACTCTGACATCTGCAGACAGTCAGATCAGATGGCACTTTCTCATAGTGTTGTAAAATGTGGAGCAGCCCTTTTTGGCAGCAGCAATAGTTTTCCATTTGCAGTGTCAGTGTTTGGGATGTTCAATGCTCCCTCTTGAAATCTTGGAATATTCATATCTACTTGTGTAGTCTACTCATTCCTGTTGTTTGGTATGCTTTGGAAATACAAGTTTTTCTTCTTTTTTAAGTACAAATATTACACCACATTCCCTAAATTCCAGATAAGGCGTTCCAGATGTTATCAATTGAAAAACATCTGGCCTGCAGTTTAGGAAATACACACCCTGTTTTCATTGTTTTTGTGATAAAAAAAAAGTAAAAAGTATAATTTTGTTTTTTGGGATTTGTATATGAGATTAATTAGACTGTGTTATTCTACTGCATGTACATGATTATGTATTACCTGATTTCTGAATGTAACTGCTGTTGTATTTGAAATATGTAATCCCCCATACTGGCCTCCTTCAAATTTTCATTATTGCATATATTTTTGTGATTAGCTGTTAAAGAAATATGTCACTGACTAATTATTTGATTTAAAACATTTATTGAGAACATTGCTTTCTATTCTTGAACTCTGAACTCTGGTGATTGGATACAGTAGGTTCAAACTATAAGTTGGGATTCAGATCACATGGATAATAATAATAATATTCAAAAATTCTAATAATACTTACAAAACAATATGTTACACCTTTAGTGTTGAGTCTGAAAGAGTGTTTACCATTAAATACTGCATACATAATTGCATACTAGAGGAGAAATACTACAAAATGCCAGCAAAAAGCAGCATAGGATATTTTGAAAAGGATTTACTAACTACAAATACAGGACATGAACTTTGAATGAATTATGATCAGATTTGAGTAGTTACAATTTCCTTTAGTAGTTTTAATCAAATTGGACTTCTCATTTTATTTTTTCTGACCATACTTTTACTCCTACTTGACTAAAAATTGTGAGTCTACAATTAGCAAAAGCTTTATGTTCACTATATTAAATAATTTGAACATTTGTTTTTCTTGTATCACTGTAGTAGACTCAATCAAATTTTGGTGTGTCCTTTGAAAATACCAGACAATACCATGTGTTGTCCTTCTAATTATATTCACTTCTATTATAAATCTGAGATTGTAGTAACAATATACTTACTTGAGTACAGTTCATGGCTACTCTACCCACCTTTGAATATGATATGAAGCTATAATAATAACTTGAAGTCTTAAAGCTGATATGAGTCAGTTGTAGAGTGGTTGGACATATTGTGGAGGAAAGATGCCCACTCGGCCTCGGCAGCGCCCCCTCCAGGTCAGGTGACTAGAGCAGTCGAGCAACTGTATGATGTCTCCTCTCTGGAAGTGCAGACAGGCACTGTGGGCAGGGCTGTAGTCACACAGGGCCTGGGCCACTCGGGCGTTCTGTGCACACAACACACATTGAGCAGAGCTGAGGTTCAGAGGATAACGACATTCTATAGACCTGTGCTATTGTCATGTGATGGTTAAAAAGTCTGATTGTCAAACCCTAAGAAAATCCTCTGAAGCTCTCACTAGTCCTGTGTTTTTAATACATTATCATTATAATATTATCATATTATTACATTATAAGAAAAAAAGGTGTAAATACCAACTGTGGACTGAGTTTGGCCTTTTGTATTTTGTGGTTATCCTCTTGTGCTTTTTCTGATTCAGTCATTATATAACTATTTGAATTATATAACTGTGTCAAATAATTATCCAATTTATTTTCTCCACGATATACCTGCCAGTCCCTCAAGGCACACTGAAAATCAAATGACATGGGTAACTGACATAAGTGTGATTTATGTTTCTTGCACCGCTCCTTCAGATATGATTTACTATTTTCTCCTTTTCATCTATCCTTTAAATAATATATCATCAGAAATCAAGTATTTTTAGTCTTTCAAATTCAAATTTCTCTTACTTTAGTAGTTTCGCCCAATACGTTTTTTCTCTTATGTAATTTATTGGACTATTTATACATCTACTAGAGTAATATTATTTAGAAGTAACGGAACTTTTATTTGAGTAAGGATTAAGGCCTCTCACGATAATTACTATATCGATTCATTCAATATACTGTATGTTAAATGTAACAATCATTTTGATTCATATTTGTATTTGGGTACTTTGGTCTTAGTACCAGTGTGAAACTTTTTGTAATTTTTCTGTTCTAGGATTAGATTTGAGCTGTAGAGGATTGAATAAATAACTTGTCTGGCTCATTATAGATACAATCTAAGTACTTAAGTGTTTCATTCTGCCATTTATTTATTGCAGTCTATATTATACAATTATAATAGTCTTAGGGTTATTGTGTCAGTGGCATAAAATGGTTTAAGTATTATCATTTATCGTCTATATTTTCTTCAGCATTATATGTTCTTGTGACAGATCTAGTACTTCATCTTGAAACCTCCCTGCTCCTACCTCCATCAGCGGCTTTAGAGGCTGTGGCGATGACCCTCTCTCTGTATGGGATAGTCGGGATGGAGGCCGGGAGGGGCAAAGGGACTCCTGGG